TGTCTTTAAAGTCTTTATCTTCCGTTTGGTCACTGTTACAATTCCAATACTTTTTCGGGAATTCTGCAATATATTTTTCACTCTGTCAGATCATTCGATGTACTGTGAAAAAATATGTTTTTGGATGCTTATTGATCTGATTGTTGATAATTTGATCTCCTATTCCTAGCAATAGAATCTTGAAGGTGGAAAGTGGCTTAGCTTAAGTTATTTTTTATGCTTGTTTATGGAGTTAGATCTCCTATCAGAAAGTAGAGATTATGGTCTATTTGTTGAAACTTGTGTACATCAATGTGATTGTGACTATTTGTATGATGATGTAGAACTGGTTTAATGGAGACTCCTCGTAGCAAACCGTCGCCGCCAACACCAAGAGTAACTAAACCATCAGGGAGTAAATCCGATGGCAATTCACCATCCCCTGTGCACAGTAGTCGTCTTTCACTAGACCGTTCACCACAAAGTGTTAACTCCAAGCCTACTCCTGATCGTCGCACTGCAAGGGTTCCTACTCCCCCCGAGGCAAGTAACATTTAACTATATCCATTTGTAACTTGAAGCTTCTCTTGTGTTGATTTTGACCTTGGAAAGACGACTTTATTGATCATCCTTTTTTCCTGGCATTTCAGAAATCTCAATCACGGCTAGGGAAGGGATCTGAGCTACAGGCTCAACTGACTCAGATTCAGGAGGATTTGAGGAAAGCTAACGAGCAAATAGCAGTGCTCAAGAAAGATAAAGCTAAAGCTCTTGATGATCTTAAAGGATCTGAGAAACTGAACAAAGAAGCCAATGAGAAACTCAGAGAGGCATTGGCAGCTCAGCAGCGTGCCGAGGAGAGTTCCGAGATTGAGAAATTCCGAGCGGTGGAATTAGAACAGGCGGGGATCGAAGAGGTTCATAAAAAAGAAACCTCTTGGAAGAAAGAGGTTGAGTCTATTAGAAGCCAGCATGCTTTGGACATCTCAGCTCTTCTCTCTACCACGGAAGAGCTCCACAGGATCAAACAAGAACTGGCTATGACTGCAGACGCTAAAAACAAGGCGCTAAGTCATGCTGAGGAAGCCACGAAGATTGCTGAAATTCAGGCTGAGAAGGTGGAGATTCTTTCTTCTGAATTAAGCAACTTAAAGGCATTGCTTGGCTCAGAGGAACAAAAGAAAGCTATTGAAGGCGATGAGGTTGTGTCTAAACTGAAATCCGAAATTGAGATGTTGAGAGGGAAGCTTGAGAAAGTTAGCATCCTCGAGAATACGCTGAAGGATCAAGAAGAGTCCATCGAACAGCTCCACGTTGATCTCGAAGCTGCTAAAATGGTTGAATCCTGTGCTAATAGCTTAGCAGCTGAGTGGAAGAGCGAGATTGATAAACTTGAAAAACAGGTTGAAGAATCAAATAAGTTGAAGACATCTGCCTCAGAATCTTTAGATTCAGCTATGAAGCAGCTGGGGGAAAACAGTCATGCGCTTCATGAGGCAGAGTTGGATAATGCTGCGTTAAAAGAAAAGGTGGAGTCTCTAGTGACGACGATTGGAAGACAGGAAAAAGATCTTGAGGAATTCCAACGCAATGTTTGCGTTCTAAACGAAGAAACTTCGAAGCTTGAAAAGCTTGTGGAGTCAATAAAATCCGACCTTGCAACCGCCCAAGAAGAAAAGGCTAAGGCATTGGACAATGAAAAGACTGCAACATCACATATTCAGAACCTATTGAATGAAAAGACGGAACTTGAGACAGAGTTGGAGAACTGTAAGAAGGAAGAAGAGAAGAGCAAGAAAGCTATGGAAAGCTTAACTTTGGATTTGCAGGAAGTATCTAATGAAGCCAGTGAAGCTAAGAAGAAGCTATTGACATGTCAAGTGGAGCTGGAACATTGTGGAACCCAGATTGAAAGTTTGAAGTTAGCTGCGAAAGAGACAAATGAGAAGTATGAAAAGATGCTTGAAGATGCAAGAAACGAAATTCATAGCCTGAAAAGTAGTTTAGAAAACACTCAGAATGAGATTGTCAATTCGAAGACTGAGTGGGAACAGCGGGAACTTCATTTGATGGTTTGTGTGAAGAATTCGGAAGATGAAAAGATCTCTGTGCAGGGAGAACTTAGGAATGTGGAGAATTTGCTTAATCTTAAGGAAACTGAGGCGCGGGAAGCAAAAGAAGAAGAAGCCAATACGAAAAATAATCTTAAAAAACTTGAGGAGGAGATTAAGGATCTGCAGCTAACAGTTGAAGAAGCGAAAGCTGAAGCATGAAACTTAAAGAAAGCTTGTTGGAGAAAGAAGACGAGCTAAAGGACGCTGCTGCGGAAAACCGAAAACTGAGAGAAATGGAGGTTAAGTCTCTCGAAAAAATCGATGAGTTGTCAAAGGTGAATGAAAGCTTGGTGGATAAAGAAACAAAACTGGAGAGCATTATCCAAGAAGCAGAGGAGCTTAGAGGGAGGGAAACTGATTATCTCAAGAAGATTGAAGAGTTGTCAGCGGCGAATGAGGGCTTGGTTGAGAAAGAAACTAAACTTTTGAGCATTGTTCAAGAAGCTGAGGAGCTTAGAGGAAGGGAGATTGCTTATCTGAAGAAGATTGAAGAGTTGTCAGCAGTGAATGGGAGATTGGTTGAAAAAGAAACGAAATTGCAGAGCACTATTTTAGAGATAGAGAAGCTCGAAGAAAGGGAGGCTGTGTATATCAAGAAGATCGAGGAGTTGTCATTGTCGAATGAAAGATTAGTTGAGAAAGAAGCCAAACTGCAGTCCGTTGTTCAGGAAAATGAAGAGTTCAGAGAAAGGGAGTCTTCTTATCATAAGGAAATTGAAGAGTTGTCAAAGTTAAATGAAATAGTTGCTGATAGAGAAACCAAACTCCAGAGTTCTACTCAAGAAAATGAAGAGCTTAGAGAAAGGGAAGCCGCCTATCTTAAGAAAATTGAAGAGTTAGCGAAGCTGCAAGAAAATCTTCTTGATAAAGAAAATGAGCTCGATGGTATGGTCCTTGAGATTGAGGATCTTAAAGCCAAGGACTCCTTAGCGCAAACGAAGATTGAAGAGCTATTAAATCTAAATAAAAGCTTGCTCGTGAAAGAGAGTGAGTTACAGGATGTTGTTTGCGAAAACAAGGAGCTCAAATCCAAAGAGGCTTCCTCTCTTAAGACAATAGAGGAGTTGTCTGATCTGAAACAAAGTCTGGTTGATAAAGACAATGAGCTGAAGAATGCAGTTGTCGAAAATGAGAAGCTCAAGGCCAAAGCTGCCTCATCGGTTCAGAAGATTGAAGAGCTGACAAACCTTAAACAGAGTTTACTTGATAAAGAGAAGGAGTTGCAGGCTGTTTCCAATGAAAACGAGGAGCTTAAGGCCAAGGAAGCATCATCTTTGAAGAGGATTGATGAGTTGTTACATCTCGAGCAGAGTTGGCTTAACAAGGGGAACGAATTTGAGAGAACTAATCAAGAAAATCAAGAGCTTAAGGTGCAGGAAGCTTCAGCGGCAAAGAAGATAGAGGAGTTGTCACAGATAAAAGAGAGTCTTATTGACAAAGAAACCGAGTTGCAGACAGTAATTAATGCCAACGTTGAGCTGAAGGCCAGGGAGGCTTCCGCGCTTAAGAAGATCGAAGAGTTATCAAAGTTGCTAGAAAAAGCTTCTTCCGCACAAGTGGAACCATATGAAAACGGGAAGCCCAGTGACATCGAAAAAGATTATGACTTACTCCCGAAAGCTGTAGGATCTTCAAAAGAAATTGGTTCAAGGTGCCAAGAAGAGATTACAAGAACAGGAGAAGAAAAAGTAGAAGAAAGTCAAATGGAAGCCATGGAGAAACATTTGAAAGATGATGACACAGCAATCCATTGGTTAGCTGAAAAAGTTGAAGGCGTAGGAAAAGGAGACCAAGATAAAGACCCCATGGAAGGGGGATTCAAGACGTGGGAAGGCTACCATATAGAAAAGAGAGAAGCTTCTTCAGAGAGAGAGACAGAGCATGACTTTGCTGAAGAGGAAGACGAATCTAAAGCAGAAGGCAGTGAAAACTTGGATCAGTTAAGCAATGGCTTGTCTTCAGCAGAAGATTCTGGAAGTCTGCTATCAAAGGAACAACAGCAGAAAAAGAAGAAGCCTTTGCTCCGAAAGTTTGGAAATCTGCTGAAAAAGAAGAGTACAAGCAGCAGCAGCAGCAGTAGCAGCCATAAGTAGAGAAGAAGATATGCTGATACCAGAACCATCTCTATTGCCACTGAACATTTCTTTGGTTGATTTGTCTCAAATCTTGTAAGAGTATAGCCCCACATTCAATTTAAGGTGTTTGATCTCTGCTTTCTCATCAGATTGTCTATTCTTCTCTGTTCCTTCAATATTGAGATCTAATTTACAGATTTGTATTTAACAACAAAAGTCAGCCATTTTGTTGAAGCTTAGAAGATAAGCACAGAGACATTCACTGACATGAAGGATAGAGAGCTACGTACAGAGAGAGAAACTGAGTAAAAGACCAAGTATTTGGGTTCTTCAAGCATCTGGATCAGGAGTGTGGATAATCTTAACTTACGTTCTTTTTATCAAATCCGTCATAAATTGATCTTCATTTGAGAACAATCCAATTGTCTCAAATGACTGAAATATACGACGAAATTGCCATGGTATTATACGAATTAAAGTCATTATGGTTCATAATTTATGAATTTCTTTCAGAAGCCGCCAACATTTTTTATGTTTTTATATTTGTGATCCCAAATTCGTACTAATATTTGAAAAAAATGTAGCTACATAAATTTTGCATGTGTGCTTGACAAAAATATACAGTCTTTGACATGAACCAACAAAACTATAGTCGGGAACGCAAGCTCTTATCAACTAGAAAGTTTTATAGTAGCCCAAGAAAGAGTTTATCCTTGCAGACATAGCTTTTAAATAGACGAACTAATTAGCCATGACCATTGAGAACTACGTACCATCCATTGGTTGCTGACGTTAAGTGTTCTCAACTAGAATATAATATATGGTATTTATACATTGAAATGATGAGATCCCATGAGAGTAACGTGATTTTCTTCTAGCGTCATATAAAAACGTGATTCACAAGGAAAGGGATCTAGAGAAGACCTTCTTCACAGCTTTCCATGTGAAGGAAGAGGTTCTAATGAGTGACAAAGGAGGTCTCATCACGAATCTTGGGGGCGACGAAGAATATGTGTAAAACGCCGATGATTTCTCTGAATCGGATGAAGTTTTAGTAGTGTCTTCTTCTTTCACGACGATGGAATCATCAACGTTTATCTCTTGATTATTCTCCTCTGCATTCCAAAACCGAGCTTCTTTACGCTTCTTTTTCACCATCGCTAACACATCAAGCTTGTTGCAAATCCCCCAAACCGTCACCTTCTGTTTGTAGTAGTCTACTTTCACTGAATATATTCCTGTTTAAACATTGGTTATGAATAATAGTATAAGCTTTTATTTTTAGTTTTTCATATGCCTTTACATTACATGACTTCTGAAATCATTAATAAATATGTAGTTTGGATATTAGTATGGGATTAGTTAAAAGGATTGGTTACCTTTGAGATTAGAAAGCGCCTTCTTGATTTTGTTCTCGCAACCGTAAGAATACAAAGGCACCATCATTTCTACGTACTGGGCTTCCACCTTGTTGTATGCCGGCACGATTTGCAGATCACCCATTATAGTTTATACGTTTTATATAATAGATTTCCAATTTCTAACTCCTCAAACCATGCACACTTAGCTCTATATATATATATATATGAAATGCGTGTGTACAGTATATATGTTATATATTGACGACAGTGATTGGGTTTAGATGCAGGAGAGATCATGAGGTGCATGTTGTTGATGTCATCATGTTATAAGCTCTTTAGGATCTAATGACTTGGATTTAGTGTAAAGTGTGTCACCACCTTTTTATTTGTTTATTAGCTTTCACCAAAAATGCCTTACTTTGAACTTTGGATCCCATGTTACATGTTCCTCTTTCAGTCTTTCTCTTTATCCCCCAAAAAGAAAACTTGACCAATTGCATCTTTTGAAATCTAAGCAATTTTTTTAAACTACACAAAAAGGGCACTTTTCTTTAGATAGGTATATAGATGATGGCTTGTATACTTTCTCATCATCCATAGTTTTTTGTTTTGTTTTTAAACTACACAAATCTGCATTTCGGGCTGGAATCCACCCAGTCATATGTAAAATGACTGATCCAAGCAAACCTGAATCTTCTTTAATACATTCATAAAGTTATTTTAAGGAACGTAAAAAGTTATTTTATGAAACGCAAAAGGTTGATGCATGGCGTCGATCGACGTTGACACATAAAGAGAATACATCTTTGAAAAGTGGAAGTGGGCTTCTCGTCATTACCAAACTTTAATTGTTGCCAAAATATCTCTTGACGTCGGTATCTTAAAGTCGAACGGCGCCGATCTTGATGACTCAGACACAAACCCCACCATGTGATATCCATTTTATAACTTCACGTTTCCATGCATTCTTACCAGTTACCACCACATTAAAGAATAAAGACTACGAGTAAATATGAACTCAGAGAAGGACATTAACCACACAAACAAAAATCAGAAATTAAAAAGAGACCGTAATTTATCTTAAAAGCACATGCGACTGGATTGAAAACTTGTAGTCTATGAATTATGAGTGACACTAATTCATATATATATATATATATATATATATAGTCTTGGAACATCTTAGATTTAAACTTGTTATTATTATTTATTTTTTTGGTCGGCGATTTTAAACTTGTTCATTCCCAGTAACTTTTCAGATTATGAATTTCGATTCAACCATAAAGCCTCTGAAAACTCAAAACTCAAAACCGTTACACAAATGGATTTAGTAGCTGATAGGTGGCTGATTGGGCTGGTCCCGAGCCCAATAATCATAGCTACTAAACTACTCACTGAAGCCCATACACATTTCCTTGCCCCGCATATCGCGTGAGAGCAGAGATTTTATTTTCCTGAGTTCGGCGAAGAAGAGTGAATACGCCTTCAAGAGGTTTTTGTTTGGGTTCTTCCTTCTTCATTTCCTAATATTCACAATGATGAACCATCTCGTCCGTAGAAGCTCCGTCGGTTACACCGCCTTGAGGTCCGTTGGGTACCTCCGGCAATCATCCGTCGCCTCTCCATCTCCGATTTTCTCCGCCGCCGCAGCAACCGTCCGCCAGTTCACCTCTGCCGGCTATCCTTCCAACAGGTTTTCAGCTTAGGATCTCGTTTACTCTTTATGTCAAAAATCGAACGATGTTGATGCATTTGGTTGGTTTCCACTTCTGATTCGAGTAGGTCACATTAGAATTGATTGATTCTTCGGTTGATTTATGGATTTTCGATGAATGTCATGTAGCTTTCAGTTGACGCCGCCGGTGAACTGGGGAATCCGGATAGTACCGGAGAAGAAGGCGTTTGTGATTGAGCGGTTCGGTAAATTCGCCAAGACATTGCCGTCGGGGATTCACTTCCTCATCCCGTTCGTGGATCGCATTGCTTATGTTCATTCCCTCAAGGAAGAAGCAATCCCGATTCCGAATCAGACTGCGATTACCAAAGACAACGTTAGTATCCACATCGATGGCGTTCTCTATGTCAAGGTCATCTTCTTTTCTTCCATTTGCTCGTGATTCATTTCTTTTTGAGTTTTTTTTTGTTTCGATTTTTAATTATCAGTCTGTTGTTTTTTTTGCAGATAGTGGATCCTAAATTAGCTTCATATGGCGTTGAGAGTCCCATCTATGCTGTTGTGCAGCTGGCTCAGACCACAATGCGTAGTGAGCTTGGTAAAATCACGCTTGATAAGACCTTCGAGGAACGAGATACTCTCAACGAGAAGATAGTGGTTCGTTTTCTCTGCTTCTTTAATCTTCGTTTCAAGTTTTAGGATATACTGTACTTGAGATCCATTGCATTTCAAAGAGTTTGGAATCCGTCAATTTTTCCAATGTCAAAGTCACCTCACGTTAGCTTGATTTTTATGTTGGTGCTACTCCCTACTGAACATTGCATCTTGTTTTTTTTAGCTGTAATTTTTACTCTGACAATTTGTTTGGGTTCTACTTAAGTTAAGATAGAAGGATTTTAGATTCAGTGAGGGACTTTACTCGTATTGTACTTGTTCAACATCCCAAGTTGTGTTGCATCTCTTTTCCAAATCAAAAGGAGACCTGATGGTTAGAGGCTATACAACTATTGAAGAAGAAAACATATCATGGATGTTTAAGATGAGATTTACGTTCTTGCAGGAAGCCATCAATGTTGCTGCAAGGGACTGGGGTCTTCAGTGCCTTCGTTATGAGATTAGTGAGTTGTTTGGTGTTTGATCTTCGCTGGTGATAGCTAAATGTCTTTTTCTGCCGTATTTCTAATTCATGTATCTCCCAGGGGATATTATGCCCCCTCATGGAGTGAGGGTTGCTATGGAGATGCAAGCTGAAGCTGAGCGTAAAAAAAGAGCCCAGATTCTTGAGTCTGAAGGTAATATTGCCTTGACTTTTCAAGGAAAAGTCATATTCTGAGATTGAACAGTGCTTGCTACAGCTTATATTGTTACTATTTTTGGTTAAAAGCTAATTACTATTCTTTTTGGGTTTCTGTTTTGCATTTGGAAAACAAGAAGTCTGCTTAATATTTTCTAACCATTTGCTTTACTATATTTAACAGGAGAAAGGCAAGCCCATATCAATATTGCTGATGGTAAGAAAAGCTCTGTAATATTGGCATCGGAAGCAGCAAAGATGGACCAGGTGAATCGAGCACAAGGTTAGTAAGCCCTTATGATCGAGAAAGAGAATACATCAGAGTAACCTCCATTGTTAGTTAGTTTCATTAGAAGAAATTTTAGTTCCATTTGCTTAATCTTTCACTATACACCGATTAATGCTTGGTGCAAGAGGAGCTGTTTTCTTCACTGCTAATGCACGTCATGGTTTCTATCTCTCACTGTTTTTCTTCCTCTTATATTATCCTCTGATGATGTTCCTCAGGTGAGGCAGAAGCAATACTAGCCAGAGCAGAAGCAACTGCCAGAGGTCTTGCCTTGTTATCTCAGTCCCTCAAGGCAACTGGGGGCGTAGAGGTGAGTACTTGGGACCATGAAGGGGCATGACGTTCATAGCTTTGAGTTTACTTAGCTTGATTACTTAGTTCGTCATAGTATTTAATAAATTGATAGTCCCATATTTCGTTACTCTCTCTTAATAAAGGTATATGTTCTTCTTGGACTTGCCAAATTGTGATGGTTTTAAGTCACAGCTTCTAACATTAATTGGGTTTTGTTTGCTTTCCAAATGTGATCTTACGCGTCATCACTGTAAAATTTGCAGGCTGCGAGTTTGAGAGTTGCAGAACAATACATTCAAGCCTTCGGTAACATTGCCAAGGAGGTAAAACAAAGATATCACAACAATCTCTTACTAGTCTCTCTTGGCATTGGTGGGGCTTATTTAAAGTTGAGTGTTTCTATTTTTTCGTGGGGTTTAGGGTACGACAATGTTACTTCCAAGTACTGCTTCAAATCCTGCTAGCATGATTGCTCAAGCTTTGACAATGTACAAAAGCCTTGTCAACAAAGGTCCAAGCAGCGATCACCAAGAAACGGCATCAGTGGAAGGAGACTGGGAAGACACGGATGAGAAAGAAATATCAGAAGGCTCTAAATACCGATCAGGCACAACAACATTCGACTCAGAGAAGCCAGGTCACACCGGTGTACCACGGTTCTCTCTTCAGAGTCGCGACAAGGAGCCATAGTAGCCAGCCAAACCAAGGATGAGATAATTCTTTTGGGTACGAGAAAACAGAAAGCCATCTTTTCAGCTTTCAAATATGAGACACTGTCGGTCTTCCTCGTTTGAGCGGCTATAATATCTTCATTTTGCAAATAGAAAACATATCTGAACATCGGTTTTCTGAAAGAGGTTCCCCAAATGATTTGGTCTGAACATTTAACAGCGAAAGTCAGTTATCTTGTGACTCTTTTTTTGTTTTGTTATCCAGTTCGATTGTAGTATTTGACGGTGGAGCATAAAGCTATCCTCCAGAGAATTGGGTCGTAACAGAGAATTGGAGGTGTCATGACTCATATGAATCTGAAAATGACAAAACTTTACCTGAAATAGCTTTAGTCCATATACGATCTCCTATATATATCCCTTCACAGGCCTCCCCTCCATTTGCTCAGCCTCCAATTATAAAACAAGAAATTAGTTTTGGCATCTTCAAGGCAAATTTGTCTTGAGGAGTTCTCTTTTCTTCCCCTCATCTAATTTTTGTTTTGCTCCACAGCTCTTCCCATTGTAATTTTTGTTTTCAAACTACATCCTTTCAATCAAGAAACCATGGGAGGCTGTGCGAGCAAACCTAAGGAATCTGACATCGTCGAAGGCTCTGTCCCGATAGACAATGCTGTTGTTGAGTCCAAGAATGCCACGACCGAGACAGATACCACATTAACTCAGGTTTTGTGATCAATCCCAATTTCATCATTTCGTTTTTAAAAATTATTCAAGGTTTTAATATTTATAATCAAAGCTTGAATAATCAGTACAAATTCTTGATTGAACGACGAACAAACTCATATTAAGATGAAACTATTGTTGCTGATATGTTGATTCACAGGAGAAGAAGGAAGAGACTAGTGAAGAGGCAAAGGAGGAAGATGAGACAAAAGAGAAGGACTCCTCTGAGGCAAATAAGGCCGAGCCAACTCCAGAAGCTGTGAAGGCAGATGAGAAAGCTCCTTCTCAGACTGAGCCACCAACACAAGAGACCGCACCTGCCAAAACAGATGAGGCGCCTCTTGTGATTCTTTGATTTTTCATTTCCACATATCAAAACCATGTGTGTGTGCAAGTGTTCCTCTCCTTATAATTTGTATGTTCATCTCTGTTGTATCGTCAATGCCATGTACATTGTGTTGTGCCCGCCTCTAGTGAAATTCTATGAGAGTTTAACATTCTGAAATATTATGATCCTCTCCACTACAATTGCAATCGGACTATGCATGTGTATACAATTTATATATATTGTCGCTAATGATAAATATTTGCTTAAGAGAAGAACAAAATTTGTTTAAGATTTTGCCTTCTGAATTAGCAGCTTTTCCAACACAAGAAAAATCATGTGATATATGATGGACCGATTGAAGTCTAAGAAACAATAAGATTTTTTCTCCATTATAGATTAAGGAAGGAAAAAGACAAAGGGAGAAATAGTAAAATAGAGATGTCCAACAAAAAAAAAAAAAATAGTAAAATAGAGAAAGAAAGAAACTGAGAAAGAGAGAACATTAAAATGAGTTTTGCAAAAGGACAAAATAACATATGAAAATCTTTATTGGTAGCATTTAGCCAAACTTTAACTTAGCAGAAACAGGGCACCATATGATGAATCATGCATTGTTCTGTGTGCAAAGCTTCTGGACCAGTTGCACAACATCATCAGATGAGTGAAGGAAGTAGCTAGCCTTTGTGTGCGTTTTTCCAACAGCTACAGAGAAGTAATTCTCTCCCTTTAGGTCAACGACGGTCGATGAGACTTTCTTGGGGGAGCCACCGCCTGAAGAAGGAGACGACGACTTAGTTTTCTTGGTTAACTCAGGCTCGAAGAAGGTGTAGACGTCTTCGTCCTGTAACATATATCAATCAACCCTTGTATCAAAATCCATGGATATAGTTTTATTTTATGATAAGTTATAATCAATATCTGGTTACATAAATAGCTTACTTTTCCCAAGAAACTACCAATGCATAAGACATAATCAATTGGTGCGGTCATCGACTTGTTGTGAAGTACTATCTCTCCGAGGATACGATCCATTGCACTTCCCTAAGGTAACAAAGAAAAGTTCATATATGACAGATCTGAAAAAAATGAGAATCTCTTGCGTATGGATGCTATGGAAACAATAGAATTAATTACCTTTGTTACACCAACAGCATGGACTTCAACAGAATGGCCTCCTCGAACAACATCCACTGATGCATTAGAGATTGGTCCTGCCCACAAGTGTTGTAACATGTCTCTTGCTTGAGCTCTCCCGAATTCAGCATCTACAAAGAAAGATCAAGGAACCAAAGATGAGTATTATCGGAAGGAAAACAAAAAAAAAGGTAAGTGGCTGTTATATGCTCTGAATATTAGTCTGAGTTTAGATGATTTGGAACATCCAGGTTACATTCGAGTCAAGAAAATGTGCATGTATATTAAAGTTCCTTATATATGCGTCTAATGTAATCACCTGCATATTGGTAATTCCATACAATCGAAGTCTCGCTTGTCTCAAAATATGATCCCGGGGTCCTTTCAGTGAAGTACTTGAAAACATGCTGTAGACAAAGCAACCCCAAAAGATTGAGGTGAATAATAATCAAACTTGAGCTCTAAGATAGATATATATATATATATATGTACTAACCTTGACACCATCAATCCAATCCAGATTCAAGTGTTCTGGCATTTTTGTCACCCACTCTCCACATGTATGCCTTAGAAACATTCCATTTTCCGCGGCCAGCCACATATTGTATTCTCCAAAGATCTGTTTTTTTTTTTGTTCTGAATCAGTCCACAATGAGATAAATATGTAATTTTTTAAAAGGAAGAGAAGCGATATATACTTTATCCAATCTGCTTTTTTCACTTCTACTCAGGACAACTACTGTTGTTTTTGGATCACTGCATAATGCTTTGAGTTTTTCTTTTAGCTGTGGGTGAAGTTCAAGATTCATTCCGTCGCCTCTTCTCACTTGGTTTTTGTCAAGCTTAGTGAGCGTTCCATAGAAACCCTGAACATTTTTTTGAACAGATAAAGATAAGTGACCACAAGAATATGCATGTACATCAGAGTCTTGCATGATAAATTAATAATATCTAAAACTTACAAGAACTAGAAGCCTATTCTTAGACTTTGAATATTGTTGAACCACATCATGTTGTGGAAGTTCATGTGGGAATTTTCCATTTTGTAGCTCAGCTTTAGCTGTAATCTCATTAAGTTTACTGCACAAGTTGTTTGTAAAAGTCATTGAATAAAAGAGCAAAAAAGGAGATGCGATTTTAAGAGAATTAATGTTTTGATTTGCACATACTTCATGAAATCATCTGCCCACTGTTGAGTAGAATGAGTTTTCACATACTGAAAATTGATTTGATGTTTTCTCTCCTTTTCTTCAGGTGACATGGTTAGAGCTTCTCCAATGGCAGTAGAAACTTCTTTAATGTTCCAAGGATTCACAAGAAGAGCACCAGCACCTAGCGACTGTCCAGCACCTGCAAACTGTGAACCTCACACAAATGTAAATTACTTTTGAACATTATATATAGAGATACATTAGATTCATGAATATTTATTCACATCAAAATTATCTAAATTCAGTTACCTCGCTGAGAATGAGAACTCCTTTTTCCGCTTTTTGGCAGGCAACAAATTCAGAACTCACAAGATTCATCCCATCCCTCAAAGATGTTACAAGCAACACATCTGGAAAAAAAAAAAAGGAAAAATAAACTCATTAGCTAGGGATCTACATAGACAATAAATTGGACCTAATTTGATATCACATGTCACTATTTTTATTGTCAATTGGTTTGAGATTAAACTTCCTACAAACTTTACATGGTAGCAGAGTCAGGTTGTCCCTAGATGGGTATTTTGATCTTAGAGTGGGATATTATAAGATGAATGGCAACAAAAAAATTGCTAATGTTATTAATCCCACGTCGAATAAATTAATTCTAGTAATGAGAGATATAGAAAAACCATTCAGCACTGATTGGTTCTATGATTGGTTGAATCCCATGCACTTTAACTAAATCATCACATGTAGTATGATAATTACCTGTGATTGCGTAAAGTGCGCATAATTGATTAAAGGCAATAGAACAATCCTGCATAGAAAGATGAAATCTTTATCAGAAACTATAAGACGATTTAAGAAAGGTATAACTCGTGACAAGATAAAAGAGAGAGAAAATAACAAACCAGGTGAATTACTGGAACAGAAGAGATAGACCCAAAACGACCATTGATTCGTCCAACGAGTCCATGACATAGGTCTTTGATCTTTTGATCTGTAATAGGACACAAACACAATCCTATGAGTTTGACGCATACGTATTATTAGCTAAAGAAGACGAAGAGATAGAAAAAACTTACATTCTCCAATACCATTCCTTGTTGGCACTGCAATCTGAAGTAACATAACTTTACCACGCCAATCTTCATTTTCCTCTAGAAATTTCTCAAAAGCCTGATATTTTTGTGGAATTCCTTTGATCATATCAAGACGATCAACACCTAATATCAACTGTCAACAAAAACAATTATGTTAAATCATTTCTTCTTTAAAGCATCAACTATATATCATAAGGGTATAAAATCCACCTTTCTGCCCCCGAAATCGGTTTTGAACTTCTTCATGTATTGTATAACCTCAGAAAGTTCACTTGTGTTTATGAACCTCTCAGGTTCTATCCCAATTGGAAACTATAATCCAAAAAAAAAAAGACAAAATGTTCATTAATTAAATCATAGCAAAAAAAAAAAAAAATCAATCAATCTTAAGAGATTTTAAAGACGGGTCATTACAACAGCTACTCGAGTGACTTTGCCCTGATCCACAACTCCTTCAGATGTTGCTTCGATTCCAAGAATACACATGCATGCATTCACAAAATGTCTTGCAAAATCATAGGTATGGAAACTAGAAACAAAAGAACAAAAAAAAAAATTACTAACATAATTTACCCATTTTTTAAGCCAATGTAATTACTACACTGTTTAGAAAGTTAAAAGATATTTTACCCGACTAAATCAGCAGTAAGAACAGAACGAAGCAGCTCGGATCGAGAGGGCAGCGTTTTGTACATTTCGGAGGAAGGGAATGGTGTGTGGAGAAACCATCCAACTTTCATCTTACTGTTGTACTCTTTAAGGTATTGAGGAAGAAGCATAACATGATAATCATGGCACCAAACCACATCTCCTTCTTGGTAATGCTCTTTTACGACATCAAAGAAAATTTGATTTGCTTTTTTGTATGCATCATACTGTGACTGGTATGTTATGGTTGAATCGTTGCGATATTCTGGTGGTGTTCCCAAGTAGTGAAAAATCGGCCACAGAATATTGTTGCAGTAGCCATTATAGTATTGATCACAAACTTCCTCCAAAAACACTGGGATACACCCCTGCAAACCAAAACCAATAGAGTTAAATCATCATGCATATTATATTTAACAAAAAGAAAATCATGACAATGCATGACTAATTAAACACTCGATTTCCTGTTTGCGTTTTCGTTTGCATTTGCTTTTACTAATGTGAAATTTTTTTTTTTTTTTTTTTTGAATTGAACTTGAAATTTTTTTAAAAATTATCTTTAGCATTTGACACACACAAAATATTTTATGAACGCAAACACCAACCTCAAACAAAAACAGTCTCCTATTATTTTTTTGAGAAATGGTTATCTCCCTTTTTACGTTAACATTTGCGTTTGCATATTGAAAAACTATCTTATGAAAATTTAAAAATGTTCTATATTAAATGTGCAGATTTTTTAAATCACTTTTCAATTGTAAACGTCAAAATTGGGGTTTGAATCAATCGAGACATGACATCATCGTCCTATCAATCAAGATCAACAACAATCGAATTTTCAGCCTCTAGTTCCTAGTTACAAAATGAAACATAACCATATATTTTTCATCAAAAAAACATAACCATATATCTTTGGACAAAAAAAAAACAAAAAAAAAACATAACCATATATCATATATGACTCTATGAGATTAAATATGTACGTATATACCTTTTCAGCTAGGGCAACGGAGAGTGCCTTTTTTCCAATCGCATCATGAACATCTACTCCAGGCCATCCAATCCATTTGGTCTCAAACTCTTTCAAACCTTCAAGAGATTTATAATGGAATATCAAAACCGATTGTTTATGTTTAATAAATTCATTAAGTAGTATATCACGAAAGTTGTATATCTTCTTTACCTAGAAGAGCACTAACTAGACCACCAGGACTCATGGTGAAAGACCAAGACTCTTCTCCAATCCTCTTTGCAGTAACCGGAAGCGACATGGACACTACAAGCAGTCGTGGTCTCACCATTTTCTTTCTCTCTCGATCTATCAATATTCGTTCTAAAAATGGATTTAAAACTTATGATGAGAAGAATGGTCTCGTCTCTCTTCTTATTTATAAGACGCTTAAGGCTACACGTGTGGCACTCTAGTATTTTTGTTAAAAACTTTCTCTAGTTAATTGATACGTATCATTTTGAAATGGACTTTTGAATTAAATTCTAGATCACTTTTGCATAAGTTGTTTCCCAAAAAGAGTCATGAAATTCAAATTCTATGTATACAGTTGTCATGAATCACACTGATACATTAGACAAACTGAGTATAATATATCTAACTCGTATATACTTGGCTAAATACAGTGATTTAGATTTAACTCGTATCTGAATTGATATATGTGTTTTAGGTAGATTTTTTTTGGTCAAAATGTTTGGGTGAATTATATTCAATATATTACCTATTATACAAAAAGTAAGAAAATCAAAAATCTTGTATTGTTACAATGATGTAGACTATTATATAATCATTGTTACTCACATTTTTAGACACGTGTATTTTATACTTTTCTGTACGGATATTTCAAAACCACTAGTTAATTAACACGTATATCCATAATATTGTTTTATACATTGTATAGTTATTTTTTAAAAAGAACCTTTGAATGTTAAAAAAAAAATGAAACTTGATTATCTATGCATGAATGTCCACTTTTCTGTATATTGTTTGTTTTGTATCCATGTTTTCAATCACACTCCTTAGTCATTAACATGTGTCGACTGTAAGGGATTATTAATCTATTATAATCCTGACCCATAAACAAAAGCTTCAAATAATTCCTAAGAATAAAAGGTAATTCTCAGTTTTTCACAAATACTAACTGTTATATCTTGTTACCCAAATCTTGTGGTGTTCTAGAAATTTCCAAAGTTATGGTAATTTTGGAGTAAAAACTTATTATTGTATTTTAGAAGAGTTATTAGTAGATTTCAATGTTTCTAGATACTTGTATTTTATGTAATTGTGTGGTTAAATAATATTAAATCTTGTGATTACTCAGAGATATTAATGAACAATGTTATAAACAAGCTATACATCTATCACAAATTTATGTCAATGTGACAAATTTACAGTCTCTGATTGGTCAGAAACATGATGATATTTTTAGTTTAAATCATTTTACAAAACAAAAATCCAAGAGTTAATTAGCAAGAACTGATATTGAATGGACTATTTTAGCAATTTAGAAGAGATTATGGATTTCAATGAAATCATCATTTCAAGTAAGCAATTATCTGTAAAAAAAAACAAAATAATGCTTTGGGAAGACCGAGGAGACGACGACGAAGGAGAATCGAGGCGACAACAACAATGGCCTTCTCTCCTAATCCTCTCTCGCTAAGCGTTCCCGATCCTGCTTTCGAATCTTGGCTCCGAGACTCCGGCTACCTCGAGCTTCTCGATCACCGCACCTCCGCCGCAGCCGCCGCCGCCACGGCCTCGACCTCATCGTCATCCTCAGCTGCTGCACCTTCTTCGTCCTCTGACGATGTTGTTTCCTCCATAACCAGCGGCTTCTTCGCCTCTCTACTTTCTCGACTCGTCACTCTCTCTTCTCTTCTGACCATCAATCCCTTCTCCAAACTCTCCGCCGATGACTTCTCAGGCGATACGCCTCCGTGGACCACCGGATTCTTTGGCACGTGTGACTCTTATTCGTTCCCGTCGTCTTCTCAGCAAGCGAGAATGAGAGTCCATGAGAATATCAAACGATTCGCCAGGAATTACGCTACGCTCTTCATCGTCTTCTTCGCTTGCGCATTGTATGGATTCTATACTCTTATTAATTTCCTCTTTACTTAGGTCTAAATCTTTGAAATTGCTCGATTAGGTTAATGTATGAATCCGAAAATGGAGTAACTTTATGGAAATTAGGTGGAATTGAAGTGTTGAATATAGTGTTCTTTGTCTCCTGGTGCATTGTAGATATCAGATGCCACTTGCATTGGTGGGATTGTTAGCAAGCTTAGCCCTTTGGGAGCTGTTCAAGTACTGCAGTGACAGATGGAAGTTCGATCGCCACCCTTCCGTTCGGAAACTTTTGATCGGTATTGGACAGTGCGGTGAGTTTTCCGATCAATTTGCTCCTGCTTTCTGGTTTGCATTTTTGTACTTCTTCAGCTTGTTTCTAGTCACGCAATGCTGAAAACGTTTTGATACGAATCCAAAGAGAGAGACTTTTGGGTTTCTAAAAAGTTGGGTTCAATGGGATTATACATGGTAATAGCAAGAACGTTTTGGTATTTTGAAGAAAGTGAAACTTCTTAAATGGATAATATGGTAGAACGAGGCTAAACTCGTTTCCTTGCTTCTCCTACTTGCAGCGACTGCAGTTCTTCTGACGTTTTTGAATGTCCAAATGGCTCTTTTCTCTGCTCTTGCAGTCAGTTATTCAGGTAACTAACTAACCAACGGTCAAGTGACTCAAGTCTGCTTTACCTATATTTTGGCCGGTTATGAACTCTGATATTTCTTCTCTGTGTCACTCTCTAGTTATGCTATTACACGCTGGGTTCAGGAAGCTCACTCCCTCCAAGAAACCATCTCGAGGAAGATAAACCGCATCAAGCGACTGGCCACAAGAGTTTTGGATTTTGCAATGAGGTTCATCAACAATTTTGGTAACCAATAAACGTAGTGTTTGGTAGCTCAAACACAGAGAGAGACAGACAGACAGAGACAACAAGAACAACACCAGCTAGATGGTAGATTAAGAAAGTGTGAATGTTAGATATCATCTCAAATCACAAATTGTAATAATAAGTAAAAACGGAAAGTTTATGAATGGTGAGAATATAGAATTCACTCAAGTAAATGACACTGTTATATAGTAAACTATTCTCTTGCCCCAAACTCAAGTACAATTTCTTACAACTTATTTTTACTTATATCCTTTCTACACAAGTTGATGTATGTGTATAGTATCATCCTGACGACTGATTTTGGCCTTTGACGGTTCCATCTGCACCCACAGCTACATTCTCTTCACTTCCTTCATCATTGTCTGCACTCTTGTGCTTGCTCGCATCTCCACTCTCCTCAGTGGCTACGTCGATGGCTTGTTTCAATCCATCTTTAGCTGAGTCCGCCGCATCACTCATTGTCACATTCGGAGCCTTACCATCAGTTGTTGTCCCCATTCCCTCTTCCTTTGACTTATCGCTTCCCTTGTTTGCCTGCAAAGTTTTGGAAGAATCAAGTGATATCATATATGAGAAAACCTCAAATGATTCTTCTATTAATCTTTCCTAATATGAATCATCTATGTCAGACTTCTTTTTAACTTCGACGAATTCAAAGACAGCAGAAAAAAAGAACTAACGTGGGATGAGAAGTAACGAGAGATAGTGATGGGAATGACTCCATCAGCAACAGATCTAGTATTGTTGTTGTAATTCCTGTGTAAAGAAGTAGCTCTGTACATGTTTATGGTTCCTCTCTTTGCTAAAAACATAGCCGCCATTTTTTTTTTCGTTGAGCTCAACGTATGAGTCTCTCTCTCCTGTATATACAGCTCCATTGGAGGTTAATGAGGACCGAGTTAGTGTCAAGAGATGAACAGGTGGCTCATCATTGTGCTTCTCACGTGTCCCTAAAGCGACAGTAACCAAAGACTGATGCTTGTGATAAACTGTGAATTTGTTGCATGTCAGTGTAAAGAAAAGTGATTGTGAGAGACAGGGCCCATACCTAAGCCCAGCCCATAAAATCAAAATAATGCAAGGGCATATGATTCGTTGCTAGTCATCTATCCTCAAAATGATCACTACTTTTGAGATTGACCGTTGAATCCGATTCCTTCCCACAATCTGTGTAGCTAAAACGCGTAATAAACTCGTAGTAGCACTAAAAGGTTTCCTTTTTTCCGATAGATGTTAAATAGTTTCAAATCCCAAAAAGAATAAATTAAACACGTCGGTAGATAACGAAGAAGAAATCTCTTCTTTTAATGAAGGAAACAAGTGGATACGAGATTCAATTTTAAACACGTATTACCATAATTTGATCTCTCCCTATCATAAAGACAAAAAGCTTTCACTTTCCTTAGCCTATTCTCGTTTTTTTCTCTCCACCTTTAAAACCTGAATTCATTTCTATATATATTCATTCATATACACACAGTCCCATTCGTCTCATAATCTTCACTAAGCTTTTTTTTCAAACAATGGCGTTTCTAAAAACCAAAAGCCTTACTTTCTTCTTCGCCTTCCTCCTCTCTCTCTCGACGCTCTCCGACGCACGGAGGTTTGAAGTCGGAGGGAGCGGCGCGTGGGTTCCAAACCCGCCGGAAAATTACGAATCTTGGGCTGGAAAAAGCCGTTTCCGTGTTCACGACACACTCTGTATATATCTCTCACTCTGTTTCCCACTTGTCATGCGTTATTACTCTGTGTATGTTTTTGTCTGAGACTCGATTTTGATTCTTGCAGATTTCAGCTACGCCAAGGGAGCGGACTCTGTGCTAGAGGTGAACAAGGGTGATTACGACGGATGTAATACCAAGAATCCGATCAAGAAAATGGACGATGGAAATTCTGAGATCTCGCTTGATCGTTCTGGTCCGTTTTACTTCATCAGCGGCAATGAAGATAACTGTAAGAAGGGACAAAAGCTTACTGTCGTCGTCTTGTCTGTTAGAAGTCCCGCTCCTCCTCCTCAAGCTGCTGCTCCGGGACATTCTCCTCCGGGATCAATGGCACCTAAAGGGCTCTTCCCCTGTTTCTCCGACGACTTCTCCTCCCGGTTCAATGGCACCTAAGTCCTCTTCCCCTGTTTCTCCGACGACTTCTCCGCCGGCACCTAAATCCTCTTCCCCTGTTTCTCCGTCCTCTGCTCCGGTGACTTCTCCGCCGGGTTCAATGTCACCTAAATCTTCTTCCCCTGGTTCTCCGATGGCTTCTCCGCCAGCACCTCAAACACCTAAATCATCTTCCCCGTCCACTGCTCCGGGCTCTTCACAGCCGGGATCAATGGCACCAAAATCTTCTTCCGCTCTTTCTCCATCTTCTGCTCCGGGAGGATCTCCTTCCTCTGTTTCTTCTTCGCCGACAGCCAACTCGCCGTCGGGGATGGGTCCCTCGGGAGATGGTCCATCAGGTTCGGCGATGGGTCCCTCCGGAGATGGTCCGTCAAGCTCCGGTGATATCAGTGCGCCGGGAGGAGCTCCAGGCGATAAAAAGTCATCTGCGAATGGTATGGCCGTTATGTCGGTAACTACAGTTTTAAGTATGGTTTTGATCATCTTTATGTCAGCTTAAGAACACACACTTGGAGTCTAGTTTCATGTCGGATTCCATTTTCTTTATTCGATTGTTTCAGTGATCATTTGTAGTCTCTCTACTTTGTTTTGTTAACTTGTCTGTGGATCCCCTCCTAGTTCTGTATTATTGAGTATAGTTATATAAATTGTTTTGTTATCATAAATAATAGACACAATGTTGTGCTACACCTGATAGTTCTAGTTATACAAAAACATGATACATCATCATAGAAACTCTAATTGAATACAGGTATTTATTATTTTGTGATGACATTCATGACATTTACACGTGATTATTTTGTGATAACATTGATGACATTTACATGTGACTGTGAGTGTGTATAATAGTAACAAAGTTAAACTATACATTTCCCTTTTTTTAAAAAATAACTATTTTTGTGTCTATGTCTGTAATTGCTCATTTAAAAAGTAGCGAAATTCCGTGAGAATTAACCATAACTATTGTTCAAACACAAAACCTTGAATGCTAATGTAGGACTCAACCAAATAGTAACGTCAAATGCGATCTAATTTAAGAGTTGCATATGGATAGATATCAAGTTTGGTCGTAGTACTTGTACCAAGCTGCATATAGTTCAATGCTTTTGCGATCACATTAAAAGCTAATTGTAAATTAATTCAACTACCTACCAAAGCCCACGTAAGGGAAAAGCCATAATTAAGGACTTTTTCTCTTTTCTTTTCTGATGCTTTTCTTTATGTCAATATCACACATGCAAGAAAGTTCCTTTTCTTTTTCCACTTTATATTGTATAATAATAATAATATTGACAACATATTTGGAAGTCTTGCTGTATTTTTTCCCTTCTTTTTATCTTTCTTATCGACGGTGTATTTTTCATTATTATTGTATTTTTGGTTTTTTCGTAAAATTCATTAATTAGTTACAAAGTTGGATTTGCTTATTTCTCTCTGTCGGCAGTAGAAAACCACGGAGTATGGACCTACACTAGTTTTGCATTCAGTGCATCTTAGATTAAGTCAAGGCATTCAGAGCGTTCAGTGCGTTTTGAACGCAATTACTTTATTTATCAATTTATCTTCTTTAAAAAGGATTACATTTATCAATTCCAATTTATCACTATCAAAACAGTCGTTTTGTGGTTTTCCTCTCCATTATCTGGGACGTTTTTTCTTTCTTCGGGTAGATAAATGTAACTGAGGCTGAATAATTGTTTACGGTTATTAAAAAAAATGAAATTAAGTGTTTTCTTACTAGCCTTGAAATTATGTGTTTTCTTAGCAAAGTAATAGTCTTAGTATATCAATATCATATAATTTATAAAATCCAAAAGAAGGCAGGGTGAAGAACAGAAGCAAACTAGTGTTGTTATTGTGAACGAGACCAAAGCATTTAATGACGATAGATAAGTTGCAAGGCTAGTAGAGGTACACGTGACAAGTAGCCATTGTATTGTATCATCGTGAGTTTAGGCCCCACGACGTAGTAGAAACGTCGCGTACGCTACGAATCGGCCCAAGTGTTAAATTGGGCACAGTGACAACTGATACGCAATGTCTCTGTCTCGGACCCACCTAGCACCAAGTTCCATTCTCAAACATTTTTCAACCAGTCAAAAAAAAGGAAAACTAATCATAGAGAACAAAATATCGAAGAAAGTCATTTACATTATTGCCCAGATTATTCTGAGACTAAAGATTGTCAAAATTCTGAGACTAAGCTTGTCAAAAGAACCACCAATTCTATAATTTATTTGCCTGTTTAACTATAAATTAGCCAAAAGGGTATAGGTGGATAGATGCTTACAAGACTCGCAACTCAATGAAATTCAGAGTAATGTGCTAATTATAATCAATGCATATCTAAATGGGACATGGTTATGGATCCACGAATCCAGTGACACAAAAAATGTGATGGTTTGTACATCTGCATTCAACATTCTGTGTAATGTTCTCTCCTGCTACTAGCAATTGCCAATCCCCTTGTACCCCGTGGTGATAACAAAACTGTGTCTCTATCAAAACTAAAGACTGTTCAACACATTTCTTGAAATGGTAAAGAACTGAAACGGTCCCTGTTAACTTCACAAACAAGAGGAATATAGAGCTAGTCAAGCCCTCAACTTACAGGGTAATGAAGTTGAATATTGCCACAGCTTCCATAAACACAAATATGTGAAAACTCAAAATGATAACAAATCAGAAGATCCCTGAATGATAGAGCCATGGTCAGGACTTTGTGGGCCAAACGTGGCCTTTTTCTTGAATAAAAATAAGAATAAACTGCGTGTCACAAAAATGACGCTTGCTTTGTAGTTTCCCGCCACACAAGAAGTCCCTTAAATCGAGAACCTCGCCGACACGAGCTTTAATCTTCAATTCCCTTTCGGCGATGACGGCCAAGCGAAAGGTCTCAGATCCAGGCAACTTATTCCGATCCCTTGCTTCAGCTATTGCTTCCGCTCAGGTACAATGTTTCTGCAATTTCCTCAATACCAAATTTTATCTCCGTTTAATCGTTGCTGCGTTTTATGACTGATTGTTCAATTAGCTGTTCTTCTGAATTTACTGGGAATTGCTTCGATTTTGAGTAGTTTCCTAAAAAGTTTATTGAGTAAAGGTCTGGACTTTAGGGTTTGGGGATTTGGAAATGAGAATCTGAGTCCTTTTGATTTCCAGGTTTCTAAGCTGCCAATCTTCAAACGTCTTTTGTTCACTTTGAGTCATTTATCATTTGCTCAACCAGTAAATTGGGAGACTTGTGACGTTGCCTCACGATTTTGGAATATCAAGCTCAGTGGAGAGCAAGTGGAATTGATCAGTTTCGAGGATGTTTGTAACCTCTCTGATGTTTTGTTCACGGAGCTGGATAGAATTTTCGAAAGCCTACACTCTACTTTATTCAAACAGAACGGTGAAACTTGTCCCACATTTGCAATTTCAGAAGAACGTATTGAATTAGCCGTTCTGTTCTTAAGATGTTGTATGAAGATCATGACTTTACTTTTGCCCAAACAAGAGCTGGTTCTAGAGAAAGCTAAAACTCTTCTCTCGATCCTCAGTCGATTGATCCATGCAACGAATGGGGATTGTTCTTTTGTAATCGCTCATGATGGATCTTTAGATCCCCGCCATGCATTCCTTTGGAGAGGGCTTGAGGTAAATTTTGACAAATATGTGGATCGTTTTATTACTCAAGACAGTTTGCAAGTTCTTTAAACAATGTTATGTTCAATGGCATTTTGATTATGTCCCTAACTGTATATGTCCAGGCTTTCATGGATGAGATATTGGTGAATAAGTCAATTCGAGATCTGCTTTTCCTAGTCGATTCTGCATTCTCCTCGTGTAGACTGTTCAGTAAGCATGATAGGGCCGGTGTGGTGGAAATGGTTTCTGCACATTTTATCATCTCAACTTCTGATGAGAAGATGATAAGCATGTGTGTTGATAGATTATGCTGGACGCAAGCTAATGCGTTTACAACTCCTCAGATAAGCTTGTGTGCTGCTTTATCCTTGCTACAAAACCCGGTGATTTCCTCTGCACCAAGAATGATTCATGCCTATGTGGTTTTATTGGTTTCTGAAGCCATCGGTATATGTTCACCTCCATGTGTTAAGGGATCAGACCTTCAGCTTATTGATCGCTATATTGACGCATTTGAAAAGTCTGTTGTTTTGTACACATGGAACATACGTAAGGGTGAGAATGGTCCATCTGGGAAGTTTGGTAACTCTCGGGTGGCTTTTAAACACCTTCTTTTGCCCTCGACACTGGAAAAGGTTAATCACCTCACAGTGAAGCTAAAGGAGTCATGGGGTGCATATCAAAGCAACAATGCCAAGAGAGAAAATAGTGAGTTGGTAGCGTATTCTGTTGCATACGCAAAGGCCAGCAGCTTATGTGTATTTGATAGCTCCTGCTCAGAAAATATGCTGTCGCAGACCTTATCAATTCTTGGTTCCATGATACTTAGAGCTAGTTCTGATGATGTCATGGACTCTGTGTTGCAAAAATACAACGCATCTAGTATGGAAGATCTATATTTGCTTGCATCTACACTGAAGTTGATGAGTTATTCGATGTTGCAAGTCATCCGGGTTCTCAGGAATTGCAACTGGCGTCAATCTGAAGCTGAAGGAGATGTTAGAGCTTGCAAGGAATACAAAGCCATGATGGATGTTGTTCAACGTTTTGAACAGTTCAGTGTTCATTTGCCCGGTCAAAGTTTCATGCGCGGTAGAATGGAGTCTCATCCTAACAAACATGTGAAATCTAAGTGGATGATTATGCATTTTTCAGGCTTGCTGTCTGTAAGCTCTGCACTCAAGCTTGACTTTCTAATGAAGAACTCCATTTTTGGAATGGTGGTATCTCTGTATTTATTTATCCTAGAAGGGGGTGACATGGAAGAACTTAGGGATTCAGTCTGTCACTCAGAAAGGCCGTCATCTTCCATACCATCCAGTGGTTCTAAAGACTTGGAAGCTTCTGGTAAAGCTGAGGAGGTAACAACTAATAACTCTTTGCACAAAATTCTAATTTCTGCGCTTTTTCTGAATGGATCAATGGTTAAATGGATCAATAACTATATGGTACAGACAGCAGTAGATAGGAAACTGAGCGGGGCAGTTGCTTTGAAGTTTCAAAAAAGCCGAACTTTGTACTTGGGGTATGTACAAAACCTTGTAGACCAGCAAAAGTCCTATTGATCTTTTCCTCTTTTCGCTTTCATGGGGATGATAACCACGTTTATGAGATCTCTAATCAATGTACATGTAACTCCATGGTCGTGCAGGAAGATGTCTGAAGCTAAAGATCCAGAGAATTGTTCGGATTCAGGAGTTGCTGTTGAAGAGGAAACATGCAATGGGGAGAGATTTCTGTGGTGTATGGCCGGAAAAAGCAACCTGCTTAGAAGCGACGTGGAGGAGTTGGCAGATTTCATCGCGTGTGAGCCCGGTAAGGATTACGCCGATTGGCTAAAAGGGAGAGAACGGTTTCGGAATCAACGGTGGAAGTCGGACAAGATTGCTCTCCAAAGGTGGAAGAAGAAGCAAAAAGCTTGGAGAGAGAACAAAAGGAAGAGTAGTTAAAAACATAGTATAGATGTATGTTTTATTAAAAGAGTGAAGATCCCAAGAGTTAATTATGCAATATCTCATGATCACAAGTTACAGTGTCCACTTATTATTTTATTAGTCATGATAATCTTTCGTCTTTTGGGATTTTGTAGCACAGTACAAAAGACAAAAAGAAATATCAAAACTCGGGCAGAACACTATAATCAAAGCTATAAAATGTAGTAACAAAAACTGTTTTCTTTCTTCAAAGTTAAAGCCTCAACAACAGAAGAGAAAAGAACAAAGAAGTAAAAAGTACTCAAAAGGGAAGAGTCTCTACTCGTATGTAAATGAGGCATAAGCTTAAGAGGTTTTTTAAGAGTCTCCTTCGCAAAAGAAGGCAAAAATCCCAGCTTTAAGAGATTCCAAACTACAACAACGCAGCCTCGCTTGATCACTACGTTCGATCTAGAGAACGTAGTAGTAACCCAAGACAAGAAGTATCAGTACCACAAGAGCAGCTGGAGCAGCCCAAACCCAGTAATTAGTCGACTTCTTACGCTTAAGGATTGCTCTCGGGAGCGTTTCTGGTCCTCTACTACGGATTCTGTTCCTTATCGGTTTCTCCTTTAAGACTTTTTCCTTCTGTGGTTTCTCCACCACTGGAGCTTCAATCTCTTCCTTCTCAGCCTCAGAAGCTTCTGGAACTTCCTCAGCATCAGCCTCGGCTTCTGTGTTGCCCCCGGTCTTCTTCTTGGCCTTCTTCTCTCGCTCCTGCAAGACACAAAAAGATGGAGAATTATTAGAATAGAAAAGAGAGAATGCAAAGAGCATTGATATACTATAGAAGAAGGGTAATTTCCTTTTTCTCTTTCTTCTCAGCTTCCTTTTGTGCTCTTATAGCAGCTTTAGCAGCAGCTTTCTCTGCCTGCTTCTTTTTCCTTTCCATAGCTTGCTTAGCTTTAGCAATCTCCTCTTGCTTTCTCATCTCTTTCACCGTAGCTTCATCTAACTTTTCTTCCTCTTCTTTCTGCGGCTTTCCAAGACCATATACTTCATCATCACCATCATCATCAACCACAACATTCTTTACTTTCACTGCATCTTTAACTTTCTCAGTCTTCTGAGCAACACTACCATCTGGTTTAGGTGCAGAAACTGGTTCCTCCTTTGGCTGCTGCTTTGCCTTAGCTTTCGGGACAACCTCGGTTTCAGAAGGCGCTGCCTTTGATGGTGGTGCCTCAGGAGCAAGCAGAGGCTTCTCTTCGGGGTTCCTCATCCGTCCATCTCGGCTCAGCTGCCTAGAATCAAGTGATGCCAAGATTCTCTTCTCGTAATCTTCTCTGAAGTTCTTCTTACTGCAGAAGAGGGAAACGAATTTCTCAACCTCCGCTTTGGAGAGAGCTTCAAGCTCGTTTATGTTCTTTTGTGCAGCCAACTCTCTAGCTTTGTTCAACACAGTACGGCCTTGGTAAAACCCAGAATTCTGTAAGAAACAGAAAAATTCCATCAATATTGCACAAAGCATTCTCCATAACAAGGAAATGCTCAAAGTATAAGTGTTTATACCGTCTCATCGCGTTGCTTCCTGAGCTCATGGATGTTTGAATAAGCTTTGTCCCTCTTCTCGCTCACAGTCTTCAGCTCATTCTCCAGTACCTGAATCTCATCTTTCGTTGCTTTCAACTTCTCACTCAGCTGATTAATCCTTGCTGAAATTGCTTGCCTCTCCTTCTTCACACCGTCCAAACCAGCACCCATTAACTGCAAAAAAGCATAACAAAAAGCGCATATAAAACAATCTCTACAGGCGATAACTGCAAGCAGCCACAGTACCCGACCACGACTTCTCTTACCTTAACTTGACCTTGGATATCATCTTTCTGACCCATAGATTCTTTGATTTTGGCTCTCACAGCCTCATGAGCAATGACCTTGTCTCTTGTACCTTCAAGCAGCCTGATCTCTTTGAGAAGCTGCTTCTCCTCGGTTAACGGAATGCTTTCGTGTTGAATCCGATATTGTAAGCTGTATATCTTCATTTTTTTCAACAAACCCAAGATAAATGAGAATCTAAAGCTATCTAACAAAGTAAAAAGAAAGGTCTCAAGATGTGTCTGAGTAAAAAACTAGTTTGTTACCATATTATTCAGCTCTTCCTCAGACGAACAGATAGCAGGCCCACGAGCACTCCCACCATCATTGCCCCTTAGCTTTCCCAGTGCTTGCTGCAATGGTTCCATTTCCTTTCTTTTCTCATCAAACATCGTGTTGAATCCTTGACGCTCTGACTTCAACGGGTCCAGCAAATCGAACAACTTTGATCTCTCCGTCTATGAATCACAGAAACTTCCACATCATTAAGAAACCAAATTAACGGAAAGTCAACACGACACACAACCATTCTTCTGAGTTCTCCCCAAAAACTTACCCTCTTTTCTTTCAACTTGTCCAAAACCGCACCCCGAGCCTTGTTCAACTTCTCAAGCTCTTTATCAGCTACGTCAAGCTTGGCCTTCGTTTTCGGGTCATCGTAATGACGGTATTTAACAAAGTAGAAAGAATGGATCTGCTTCGCCGCAGGCCACTCTTCTGCTGCATCTTTAGGCACATCGGAGATCAACACATTGTTATTATCTTCGCCTTTCTTGGGCGGCTCGCCGCCGAGTGAACCGAACTTGATGGAGGCTTTATCTCCTTTCCCTTGGGCCACCTTCCCGTTCGTCTCGGGTTTTCCTTCAAAAGGAGCTGGAACAACCTCAAATCCACCAGAGTTTACAACCTCAACGCCCATTTTGTCCGAAGCAAAAACAGAGGATCCTAATGCCCGTAAAAAACACCAATACGTCAGTGAAGAAAAGATTGGGATGCAAAAAAACTAAGCTTGGATATAATTCGGACGCTAAAACGAAAGCAAGGATTCGACTTTAAGGATCTATTGCGCAAAGATCTGCGACTTTAATTCAAAAGTGTTGAATTATTCATTGTTAAGACACAGATCATTGTGGGCATCAAATGCATATACAGACAACAAAGTACGAACAGCAGATTCACAAATAGAACAGGGAAAGATCAAACCTTTAACGCAGAGTCAAATCGAATCAAACGGGAATCAAATCAATTGTCGGAAGTCAAATTAGGTAGAGATCAGAGAGCGATCAAATGATTCAGAAGAGGACGAAAATATGAAATTAACCGAAGCAAATCAAAGTCAAACAGGTGTTACAACACAAATTTCAATAAGAAAGAGAAGGAAATGAAGGGATACCGTGAAAAGGAGAGAGGTAGAGAAATGGGAGATCTGAGGAAGATAACCGAAGAAGACCCTTTTAGAGAAAAAATGGTCGCTATAGCTTTTCCTGCCTAAGGTTTTTTTTTTTTTTTTGGTTAATAAAATGGAAAACCTTTGGGGTCAGATCTCCATCTAAATATATCTTGGATTTTTTAATTTTTTTTTTCTTTTAGGAGGAAACCCCACGAATTGCATCTTCTCTCTCTCATTAAAATCAGATACAATTTTACTAAAGTGGTAAATATTTACTCTCGTATCGACTGAAAACTCTCATTTGGGCCACATTCCTACTTTCCTTCTTGTTTGTTCATATTTGTCTTTTAACCTTTTTCCAGCATTGATACAAATAGTTAAGGGGGAATGGTCTTGAAAGTTGTAAAAATTTAGTGAATTTCTTTGAAAGAGTAAAGATTTTTTTAAAGATTCCTTAAGTTTTATCTATTTGAATGACTCAACTTTAACTTATAAGTTATAACTTTAGTTAGCCCTTTTTGGCTAAAAGTTTAATTAGCCTTAAATTACATTTTTTAATCATTTTATTTTAGTAACATTTTCGAATTACACGTTTTTATATGGCCAAAGTTGTACAATCAGGGAGAGGTGATGGTCACGGGACTTGTGATGGTAAATATTTTTCTTTTAGAATCTTAACAAGAAGCAAAAAAAAAAAAAAAAAGAGACAAAAATGGGAAGAGGTGGAGAAGAAAGAAACAGTTGTTAGTTGGTGTTGAAAACGTGGGAAGTCTTCTCTGGCGTTAGAAAGACTCTGAGGGTACAACTGTCCACTTTCAAGTGACACACGTCTTCTCTTCTCTTCTCTCTCTGTTTGTGAATTTTATCACAACTAGTCATGCGGATTAGATTCTTTGCATCGTACCTACATGAGCTGCAGTTCAAGTTCAGACGTAAGCTGAAATGACCCAACTACCCTCCTTCCTCATCTCCCCCAAACTTGTCAAGTTGAACAAGTAGACATATTTTTTATTTTTTTATATTTTAAATGAAGCAAAATCAAGTTTTCTGTCTACACCATTCTTGGTATCATTGCATTTACGTATAAAATAGAATATTTGGCTTACTATAGATTGAAATATAGCAAAAGAACGATTCTGTATGTTTCTGTTTAAATCTGAAGTTAAATCAAACTGGTTTAACTTATTAGATATTTAGTAAATGTTAGACGGGACACACTATTCTATTGGACACAAAATTAAAGTTTTCGACACCATAGGCTCATATCAATTGGGATACAAAATTGGATTCATTTCATAACTAAAGATCTAGCCCCATCAAATCTCATGTGAAAAGAAATACATCGGTTTTAACTACAGCTTATCCAGTTTCATACTATCGCTCAGCTACGATTTAAAATCCATTACATCTTTGATTATGTTCATTCATCGGAGGCTGAAGCAGCCTGTTTCAGACAATCCCGCATGATCTCTCCAAGTTTTGAACAAGCATCCAAGCAAAGCTGCATTGCCTGCAATTTAAAAAAAAAAAATGTTTGTACATAAGCTCCAATGACCCAATTATTTCATAATTAAGTGCTAAGCTAGGCACACAGACCCTTTTTGCCGAATTTGCGAAAAAAATATGTATGAACATGCTAAACTTCAATTCGTGCTTCAGAACGATAATGATACAGTCTAATTAACCAATCTCATGTGATTTCAAACAAGAGAAGTAGTTGAACAACATTAATAGTGAGAAAAGGAAGATGTTTGTCTCTAACAATGAGCATCAATTAAAGGAACAACATATGCTATTTCAAGGTATACCTCGTTAATATTAGGCGTTGTCCATTCACCAGTGATGGTTAGCTGAGTGATTTCATAACGAGATGGCATGCACGTCATCGTAAAGCTTCCATCTTCACAGCCTTCCTCTTCTGTAACCGGGTCAATCATAAGGCTTTTGCCTATGCAAGACTTTGAAAATTGCAGAGGAATAATTTCTCAGTCAGTGTTTCAAAATAAAGAATTAAGAGACAGCTGTAAGCTTATTTGTCTAAAAATTAACCACATGACGCCCTCGTTCATTTCAATGCATGCGTTACTTTCACCTAAATACTAATAAATTTAAGAGAGAACGCCCAGGAATTGGTGCAACTGTTGTAACATACACATACCACTGAAACAGCTGTGATCAAGTCATACATCATAATCCCGGCATCTACTAGAGCAAGACTTGCACATGATATCACAACAGGGAGGTCACCTGCAATACAATACCATTCGAGAAAGTCAGAAAATGCCAAAAAAAAAAGCAAGCATATAATAACAATATGGTCTTCTTTCCCAGACAAGAAAATAGCAACAGTTTGCTTCCATAATCAATAACACGAGCACCAATGTCCAGAGAACCAGTAAGCAATCACCAAATGCTCTTCCAAGGAAATCCTATTTTGCTTTTTCTGGTTGAAGTATTTTGACAGCACTGAAGAATTTATTAAGAGACTATAAGAATGTACAGTGTCATGAGACTTACTGCCTCCAGATTCAAGCACCAATGCAAAAACATCAACAGTTGTCTTTGGAAACGTCTCTGTCATTATAACGCCTTCCAACGCTTTGTGTAGCATCGATGAGTACTCTTTGTGATCAGTTCCCTGAAAACAAACCACAATGAATAACTAATTTGATGAAACTAAACGAAATATAACAAATCCGGGGTTACAATAACACGATAAAACTCACAAACCTGCCCAGCACTTGGGGAAGCAAACGTTGTATAGCTAACATTGCAATTCAATCTACCAACATCACTATAAACCATTGCTTTCTTACTCTCCCTTGGCCCAAAACTAAATTTCGAACAACAAACCAAAAACACAGAACAGAATTAGCTGACAGAAAAGAAAACGTTAAAGCAAATCCTGAAATTAGACACTGCGTATAAGTATTATAGCTGATAAAACTCACACTGAAACAATGACTTTTGTGTTCCCAAACTCAGCATAAGCAGAACCAGAAGCAGAACTCACAGCACCGGTTTGAAGTACTGAAAAAAGAAACATTTTTCCACAAAAGAAGTAACTTTCAAATTTAGTTTAGTCTCACAAAACAGCCCTTTCAGTAGATTCATTCAGAGATATTTGAAATCTTCACGAATCGTATCTGAAATCTTTCAGGAAAGAAAGGGAATTAGGGTTTTACAGGCAGGTCGACATTGGTGGAATCCACGGCCATCAGGACGAGTCCAATCGAGGTCGGAATCCTTGAAAATAGGAGGGCGAGTTCTCGCGACGATTTTTGGTGAATACGTTGAAGTTGCGGCTCCAGGTTTTGATGCCATTATACTGCGATCAAGCTAACAAAATCGAATCTTGAGTCCTGACAATCAATCGATTCAGCAAAAAAAGAGGTCGCAATGAGGTGAATCCCAGTTCAAAATGCGAGAGAAGTATTGATGTGTGAAGGATACTGAAGAAATCTACCTGAGGGTTTTAGAGAGATGGAATGCGGCGGCGAGCGAGGAAGAACGACAAAGACCGCCGTTGAAGATTTAGGGTTTAGCGAAAACAAAGAAAATAACAGAATAGAACGGTAATTTGTATCTTTGTATTCAAATAACCTTAAAGTTTTATTTGTATTTAATTTAACCAACCATCATGAGATTCATGACCCACACGAAAAATAATCTTTGGCGTAGCAAATGTCTTAAAATTCATTTGGAAGCATTCTAAGGAATTCAATACTACTTTTAAACATCACAAACATTTATTTAAACATGTATGATACATAATCACATCAAATGCCACTATTTTTTTTTTTGGTTTGATCTTTATGAGTGATTTAAGTATATAACTATGGTTGTTTACAAAATTAGGTGTATAGGAAAGTTTATTTGAAAATTAGTAAATTAGGAAAGAGAAAACAAATTTATCTCAAAAAACAGTTTTCCTAATTTAAATAATTACAAAAATGCCATTGGTTTATAAACTGATTTTTTTGATAGAATGAAATGATGACACTGTACATCATATGATCGAAGTTATTGTTCATCTGATTCAAAAACAACTATTCATTACCAAAAACGTGTTGTTAATATGTTAACAATTATTATATTAACATGTTATCAATAATTATACGTTATATACTATTCGTTAACATATTTAACATAATAACAATTATATATGTTAACATGATAACAATAATATATGATATTTGTAACATATTAACAATAATATCTGATGATAATTATAACGTGATAACAAAAATATCTAATAATTATAACGTGATAACAAGAATATCTGATACTTATAACATGCTAACATATAGTAAATCTGGATATTATTTGTGTTAACTTTGTAATGATAACTTTGTTAAGACAATATTGATGTTTTTCAATTTATACAGTATATTTACGAATAATAATTGCAAAGTTAACATGATAACATTGTTAGAGGCATTAACAGCATATGAAAACGAATGTACTAAAGAGATTTGTGAAAAGATGAGACTTGTGGTATTCTTTTTTGTATTTTGTTTATTGTTATAATCTTAAAGTTTATAATGGTTCATTCGGTGGTATACATTTTTGTTTGTTAGAGAGAAGAAAATTAGAAAGAGAGAAAGATAGATATTAAGAAAGGAGTGTTGAGTAAATTCTCATTTAAAAACACTGTAGGAAAAATGTTTCATAAAGTGTCACATAATTTGAACATTATCTATGGTCATTTAGTGGTAATATTCTTTATCAAATGCCACTATTTAAAAAATAGTGTTTCCATTTTCTAAAAGATGCCTATATTTTTTTTTTGTTAAAGGAAGATGCCTATATATATACATACATATACTGTATGTATATATAAAATGATAATCTGCTTGATCATACGATGATTCACGTTTGACATAGCATTTATTTTTGCCACTTCCCATTTACATTTTATTAACGTTTTGTCCAATACATTACTTTTTCACGTTTGATGTTAACGCATTTTTTTCTTTGAACATCCTAATGTAGCTGATATGGTAAGTAAAAATATTTAATGCTATTTATGCACTTAATTAACAACACAGATCAAAATCAAAGACTCCCAATAAAAAGTCAAAGAGAACGCACCATTCTGGGAAGTGAATTAAAACTTAAAAACGAAAACATCTGTGTGGTCTGTATAACCGAAATCTAGAAGAACCATATATATCTCTCAGATTTCTTTCTTTATCTATTTTCTAGATAAAAAAAAATGTTATTTACATTTTTATTAATAAATCCTCGTTTCAAATAATTCTTAGGGTCCTCCTGGATAGTGAACTGCGCCCAGAGCTTTTAACATTCTAGCGTCATCAAATCCTGGAAAATTTAGAATCAGGTTTATTTTTTGTTTCCTCATGATGATCACTTTTTTACGTTTTCCAATTTGTTTTTATATATATATATATATAGAAATGGAGCTTTTCTTATTTTTAGACAGCTCAGATTTGTCTTTTCGATCTATTTTATTATAAGATCGGCTCATACTTGTGATCACGTCGTTAATTAGGATTCATCAATCCCCTGTTTTTTCTTTTTCTTTTTGTTCCTCATCGATTATTTGGGGATAATTTTTTATTCAAGTTGATGTATATATATTTTAATTTTGTCAAAAACATGTTCAGAATCAACTATGAAATTTAAGGTTAGTTAGCTTCTTTCTTATGTTTTTAAAAGAAGGTAAGGAATCCAAAACTTTGTCTGGTTTTTTTTTTGGATGCATTGATCAATATAGATCTCTGATTATGTAACAATTCAGTTTTTAATTGGTCTTATTTGGCGTAGGCTAGGGGCAATCTGCAATCTGCATGTGTAAAAGAAGGATCTTGCTTATCTCAGGAGGATCCTACAAGATCAAAGTTACGTTTTGGCTTCGTTTGTTGACCTAATCTTCTGCAAAACCGCTCGTGTTCAGAGATCCTATGAGAAGCCTCTTCGACGATGGCGTCCACGAACTCAGAGAAGAGATGGATTTTCCCTCTAGCAATGGCTTTGTTCATGTTCATATTCCTTGCAGCTGCATCTTTCAACATGGGTCTCCTCTCTTCCGTGCGTTCCATTAACTCACTCATCTTCTCCTCCAATCTATCATCCGCAAACGAAACAACTGCCAAATTCGCAGAGTCAAAGTTAAACCAGTCCTCTTCGCATCCTCCTCCAGTACAATCTAGCCCTCGCTTTGGTTATCTAGTTTCAGGGTCAAGAGGTGACTTAGAGTCTCTTTGGAGGGTGTTGAGAGCATTGTACCATCCTAGGAATCAATACGTTGTTCATCTCGATCTCGAGTCTCCTGCTGAGGAGAGGCTTGAGCTAGCTAAACGTGTGAGGGAAGATCCTGTTTTTATCGACGTTGGGAATGTTCACATGATCACAAAGGCTAACCTCGTTACATATCGAGGACCTACAATGGTGGCTAATACGCTCCACGCTTGTGCCATTCTCTTGAAGCAGAGTAAAGATTGGGATTGGTTCATCAATCTCAGCGCCTCGGATTATCCTCTAGTGACTCAAGATGGTATGTATATATATGTCTATCGTCTCTTTTGTATATCGAATACTATCTGCATGTGTTCATCAATGCTCATTTTCATGCTTGCAGATCTTATTCATACATTCTCAGGGCTGGACCCGAACCTCAACTTTATCGACCACACTAGCAAGCTAGGATGGAAAGAGTAATGATTCTTATTATCAATATTTGTCTGTATAATACTACTTTGCTTTCTGTTTAATCCAAATGGCATTTTTCATTTTCTTGCAGAGATAAACGAGCAAAGCCATTGATCATAGACCCAGGGCTTTACTCAACAAAAAAATCAGATGTCTTCTGGGTTACACCACGTAGAACCATGCCAACTGCATTCAAACTATTCACCGGTAATTAGTGTTACTAATCAGTAATAAGCAATGGTTATGAAAAATGGTGTGACTAATGTATATATGTAATTTGGCTGAAACTCTTAGGTTCCGCTTGGATGGTCTTATCACGGTCGTTTGTAGAATATTGCATTTGGGGATGGGACAATCTTCCACGGACACTTCTGATGTATTACACAAATTTCCTCTCTACACCAGAAGGTTATTTCCACACTGTGATCTGCAACGCACCAGATTACTCGACCACCGTGGTCAACCACGACCTGCATTACATCTCCTGGGACCGTCCTCCAAAACAACATCCTCGTACGCTCAACATCAACGATACAGAGAGGATGATTGCAAGCGGAGCTGCGTTTGCTCGAAAATTCAGACACAATGATCCTGCTTTGGACAAGATCGATACAGAGCTGCTCCGTAGAGGTAATGGGAACTTCACACCTGGTGGTTGGTGTGCAGGCGAACTGAAATGCTCTAGGGTTGGTGATCCTTCAAATATCAAACCGGGTCCTGGAGCTAACCGGCTACGAGCGCTTGTTCACAGACTTGTTTTTACATCTAAATTGGCTCAAAGACAATGTAGATAAGGCTCAATGCGTTTTGCAGCTGAATGCACACGCAGCGGACATTAAGGGTTGATTTCTGTTTAGATGTTTTCTGTTTAGATATTTTTGCAAAGTGACAAATATTGTAGAGATTGTCACTATTCGAAGCCAGAATAATACATCACTTATTCCTTTCACCATTTAAACTTACGCTATATTTTTTTCTCACCAAAAATGTTTTCTACATATTCCACAACACGAATACATTATATAGTTTTTTCACTTTGCTTGTAAAAATGTTTTCCAGAATATCAACATTAACAAAAAAGCACAAAAAAATACGCAATTTTTTTTTTGATTTATTGTACTTTGATTAGTAAGTTACGACATTCATCAAACAAACTACTGTATATATGATGAATATTTTAGAAGTATTTTTAATTATTTGTAAGTTTTGCATAAACTGATAAAAATGTAATGAAGAAAATGTGTTTACTGTATTTATTTATGTTAACTTTTAGATATGATAATATTGTGGGTGATATGTTTACATATTCATCAACTAAACATTTAAATTTATAAATTAATATATATATATATATATGATCTTAAGATTAAAAACGACATATTACTAAAAATTTATTATTTATATTTAAATCACAAATAAATCCATTTGACCATCAAATTTGAGTGGAGAAAACTCAATTATATGGAAAAAAATGATCAAAGTAACTGAACAGAGGAAAAAAATAATGGGGCAAATATATTATTTGATATCGAAACCAAGAATTTTATGTGAGTTATTTCTAAAGTGAACCCTTTAGAAGTTCCGGTATTTTGGGTCCATTATCGACATATAAGGGTCATATTATATACTAGGAGGACAAATGAAAATACATGTATCTGATAGAAGATGGGTAACTCAACAACAGGTAGAAAAAACAGATGATCAAGTGTTCATATGCTTCTCCAACACATATATGGTTCATCAATATTAGACAAGCACTTATATTTATAGATATGCAATACACAGCGAGCAATTGGCCTGCAATTTGAGACCTAACTTGGAACAATAGTGTCTGTTGTTATTATACCACAGCGACTTTGACTTTTACAGCCTATTTACATGACAAACTATACAAAAGGAGAGAAAAAGAAAGAGACAGAGAGAGAGAGAGAGCTAGAAGAGAAGGAGGCAAAGGATGATGCAGCAAAGGAAGAATATCGATACCCGATTAAGAGATTTCTCACGCTGCATCATCCTCTGGCTTTGGTAAGGCTGAGCTATTGTGTTTGTGAAGGTTCCAAATATCCTGGTGTAGACCATGTCCCCAAACATTCCAATCACCGGGTATAGAAAACTCATCATTACTGCATTGGCCAGGTCGGTTGATTCTGTTGTGGTGAAGCCACGAGGTGAATACTGGTGGTTATGAAATGTTGGAGACAGAGTTTGATGTTGCAAGCTTGGGTTCAGAGAAGCTTCTGAGGTGATTGGATTGTAGAAGGTCGATGGAGCGGGTCTGCGTGGTATTTCTGTGGACACTGAGTCTAGTTTCTTGGAGCCAAACGTGGAAGAAGGCGAAGACATGCCCCTTCCATAGAGAGGAACCAATGAAGTGATAGTAATGTTGGATTTGCAGACTGGACAGTTGTTCTGGTGCTGATCAATGGAGATAGAAGATAACTGAACATGTAACCACCTGTAAATGCAAGGCCAACAGAAAAGGTGTCCGCAGAGAGTGACGACCGGATCATGGGCCGTGTCTAGACAGATGTTGCAATCAAAACAGCCACTTTCATTAGCTTGGTCTCCCGTTAGACCTGTGATGAGATTAGGTTTTTGTTTGACTAAAAAGCCATCGTCATATGACTCTTGAGCATTAGACCTGAAGAAGTTTCCTTCCATGAGAGGTAAAATCCTGTTCAAGAAAAAAAAATATAATATTGTCAGCTCTGCATATTACATATTGGAAATAAACAATAATCCATAACAAAAGAATACGTATTTGGCACAAGACAAAAGTTGAAACAAAATACATATTCGGGTCACTAAAGAGCTCAACTAACAGGTATATAAACCTCATGAAAAGAAGCTAGCTCTACAGTTGATGCAGATACATTACATATAATCAACAGTTAACTATATGCATCGCAGCATTAGATGTACCAAGAAGTTTGCCAAATATTCGATTTCATTAGCATACAAACCTGTGTTTTGACTTATTAGGTTTCATGCTACTCATGGGTTCTGTGAAATGATGGGTTCTCTAAGCTAGGTTTGAGGAAAACCAATAAGAGGAAACTAAACGAAAAGTGAGCCTATTCTCAAGATCTTTCAACCCCAACCTCATTGACTTGTGCGTCTAAAGGTAAAATCTTAAAAAGCAATCTAAAGAGATTGCGAGAATCCCATTTGCTAAAAACCACAACCTTGCTATAAGATAACATTCTGGGTCATCATAATCAAGATATTCTTGTCTTCAATCCAGGCAAATCAATAAGGGGAAAACAAGGATTCACATTTCAATCCCCTGGGCCGAAAACCCCCCCAAATTTCCCATTTTTTTCCGAATTCCAGAAAGAGAGAGACTAACAAATAAATCAGGACCCTAAATCATCCATTTACATGCCGTGAGACAGAAGAACCAATGAATCAACAACAATAGCTAAAGAGAATCCACACCAAGACAGATGATGAAGAACCTACCGAGTCGGAGACGAGGAAAACGCTATGTTTATGATGATGATGAAACTCGAAAATCGCAACAGAGAGGGATTTCGATGATGATGATAATGGAGGTTTTAAAGGCAGCGACGGTGATGGCTTCGTCTTCGTCTTCGTCTTTGTTTAGCTTTTTTTTATTACCAAAAAAAATTAAAAATATCTTAAAGGTTCGATTTTTTTGGTTCTTTTTAAATTGGATAGCTTTTGAAAAGGATAATGATGTATCTAAATATCTTACCATCCACTCATGTCGGGGGTTAAATCGTGTTTAAATCTTTAACAATTAAAATTAGAATTAAGTTTTCCCAAAAAAAGGTAATCACTATGATTTGGTTTGCAACAACAAAATAAAAACTTATATATAATTTCGTAACAAAAGCAAAAAAAAGTATAAAAAAAAACTTTTAAACCAGCAAGACATTCATCAGCAAGAGAACACAATGCACCAAGGTTCATAACATTATCTTAAGTTAATCACAAATGACATCCATATAGTATGACTAAAGCTTTTTGGATATATGAGAAGCAACTAGAGTAGAGCGCCAGACAATTTATTGTTTGCGTCCTTGATATAACACAAAAACGTTTATTACCAAAACATGCATAGGTATTAGGTAGATAGAAGAGGCTAGAAAATGCTTGAAAAAAAAAAAACAAAAACAGAAGAGACTAGGGAATCACATCGGTTTAGGCTGACCTTAGAGTTTGTGGTAAAAAAATACTTAATTTTTTAGGTATTGGCTTCGGATTATGTTTGTTCTTTTTTCTTTCAATATCGGGTATTATCGATCTTGATATAATATGCAATGCAACAATTAAACCTATGTTTTCTACAAGTCTATAATATGAATTATATCAAATGAAACTAACAGAAACATGTCCTTCACATTTTTCCAAAACATATCATAAAATACTCCAAGGTATATTAAATATTCTCTAAGGTGAATGTCTTTTGGAGTTAAGATGTCAGGCGATTCTGAGGTTTTGGGTCTTACAATGCTTTGGATCATGTCTTAGATTGCACAAACGTTGTAACTGTGATTGAAAACGTTGTAATCGTTTCAATGGATTGAAAAAATGTTAATGATATTTTCTTAAATCAAAGTGATTGCTAATTAGTTAAACAAACCAAAAACGTTTATTTGATTAAATCACAAACTCCAACTGGCTCATTTACACCCAAAATCAAAAAACAAAAGAACCTCAACAACACTTTTGTTTTTTTTTTTTTTAAACAGGTTTTAGGACAAAACACAAAAGAAAAAAAAAACTTTTCAAATCATATTCTCCAAAAATTTCCTAAAAACTTTTAAGATATCAACAAAAGTAACCATGCCAACAAAACAACCATCTTTGTCAATCACCCACGTGTAATTCGTTCGATGAGCAATCGCTTGGATCATCACCGCCATTAACGAGCTCGTCGGATTACACACCACCGCCTCCGCCTTCCTCGCCATTCTTGCCGAAATGCTCATCGACCTCCCAAACGACGTCGTTCTTGCCGCAGATTCTTCCTCCGACGAATAATCCGACGTCGGCGACGACGAAGGTGAGAGAGACTCGAAGAGCGAGAGCAAACGCATCAGTCCCTTCTCCTCCAGACGATTCCTGACTTCCTGGAAGAAACTCTCCGGGGGATATCCACCGTCTAAGTACTCCATCAAGTATCCGGCGGAGAGCGTCGCCACCGCCGCAGCAGCTGTTTCGTCGCAGCAAGTAAGTGTCATCGGAGATATCTCTCCGATAAGACACATCAAGGAATTATCATCTCCTTCGCCGTCGACCACCGCGACGGAAGTTTGATCTACTAGAGCGCGGGAGATGGCGGAGACGACGGCGGAGGCGGAAGAGTTGTAATCGACGGCGAGGATTGCGTGAGTGCTGTTGATGATACCGAGATCGGAGATTGAAGTCGCCGGTAAAGGGGAGAATGAGGCGATGCATCCGAGGAGAAACTGTATGATGTCTTCTTGTGTGATCCAGCAGAATCTTTGTCCGTTGGAATGGTTGGTGGTGAGCGAAACGTTGTCGTTTTGCTGCCATTTCTTAATGATGGACTTGGTCCGTATAGGGACAATCAGATTCTGCGCTCCTTTGATTATCAGATCAATTGCTTCAACTAAGCTGATCAATCAAATCAACGTTAATACAAATGTAACTAAGTCAAAAACAGAGCATAGAAACAGAGGAAAAGGGGAAAGATTGAATTTTTATATAAACCCATGACTGGATTTTGAGTAATATAAAACAGAGAGAGATTGAACGAATACAAACCTGCAGGAGGGTTGAACATGGAGGACGAGGGAGCGAGTTTTGGGGAGAAGAACAGAGACAGGTGAGATTAAGGAAGAGAGTGTGTGGTCTTCGTCTTTGGACAAGTGGCAGATGACATCAGCCATTGATATCTTCCCCAAACACTCGCACTCTGCGGCATCGTCTCGGTCGTGATTGCAGTTCCAGACGGAGAGGAAAGGATCTTCAGAGGATTTGAGGGCAGTGATGGCGTCGGATACGGAGGAGGAAGAGGCAGAGAGACAAAGGAGAGGAGGCTTGCCGAGGCAGAGGTCGGAGACACCGTAGGAGAGAAGAGACAGTGCCATCAAATTCAACGAAAGAGAAGATGAAGTCTCTAGTAAGTGTGACGATGGACACAGAGAGAAAAAGAGAGAGAGGAGACAAAGTTATAAAACAAAAGAGATGGGTAGTACGATGTAAGTAGATCAGAGACCACCTCATCAGATTTTATAATCGAGTTTAGGATCCTCGATTCTGCATATCATAACGTTTATGTTTTTTTTTTCCAATAATAATGAATATTGATAACTTGGCTAGTGGCCAAGGACATAGAAAAATTAAAGATGATAATAGAATTGATAGATTACAAATTTAGCGTTTTGTTTAGTATTTTGCATGTTTTCTATCGGTAAAATATTTGTAAAATCCTACTTTTTCCGTTTTTATTATAAATGGTGTTTAAAATATGTATACATAATTTAAAAACTTATATAATTCTTGTTTTTTCTAAACGAAATTATTATTTATTATTTACATAAACACATCTTAACTATTGGTCGTTAAGTCATTTGATGGCAAGTGAATCAAGTTCTTATTCGTGATTTCTTGGAGAGTTTCTTAAAAAAGATAGAAGCTATTGAAGCTTTAAACGTTCAAGGAATTTACGTGTGTTGCGCCTACGTTTAACTGATTAAGTTATTTGTTTAGCAATAAATAAATAAAGGGTTTTATCGATAGTTAGACACTTACGAGTGATAATTGTTGTTCTTCTCTAATTGCAAAGCTTGTAGGCCACATTCTTCACCAAAATGTGGGCACTGGTTCGATGCTGAGTTTAATTCGTACAATTGCGTGTCTACTTTATAACCATCATTTCATTCATTTTTTCGGATTTTTCGATTCAAATTTCGCATAAGCTCATCAAAAGATAATGTTGGAAGTTAAGATCGATAGTCAGACGATAGAGTTACTCAACACACGCAATAATATATTGGTTATTACTTATTCAACGTCGTCTATAACCGAACTCATTCAAGTAACTAAGTAATAGAACAATGCAAACAGTAAGGCCACTACTCATTAGAAGCAAATGAATAGTATTTAAATCCATACTATATAGGTAAGCTTTTTTTCTTTTCAGATTAGGTAAGATTAGAAGCAAATGAATAACATTTAAATTCATACTCTATAGGTAAGATTAGGGGTAGGTTTGTATAGTGTTTCTTCGGGGTCGTTTAATAGAACGAACCCAAGATATAGATTAGAGATAACCAAACTTTTTGAATTTTATATTTCTGTTTTATGGGAGGGAAATTATGATCCTAATAGCAAAATTATGCAATTAATGGCTTTTGTGTTGTGACCTTTAATGATAGGTATAAAACACGTTCCAATTTTCGACTTACTCGGTTGCTCCAACTGTCCAACAAGCTGGCAGTGGCAGTTAAACACTGTTTATATTTCTGTTTTATGGGAGGGAAATTATGATCCTAATAGCAAAATTATGCAATTAATGGCTTTTGTGTTGTGACCTTTAATGATAGGTATAAAACACGTTCCAATTTTCGACTTACTCGGTTGCTCCAACTGTCCAACAAGCTGGCAGTGGCAGTTAAACACTGTTTTTCTCTTTTATTAATTAGTAGTCTCTTTATATTTATTTAGTTATCGTTTTAAAATTATACACACAGATTAAGAAAATATTAATTATATTAGTTTTTTAATATAAAAACATCATTAATTATCTATTTAAATACAATTCAACTAATAATAAAATAATTGGTATTATAAAACTAATTATAAAAAATAAAAAACTAATAAATGTTGCATTAAAAACTAAAAACAATAATTAATTTAAAACAAACAAAATTCTCTAAAATGACAATTAATTAAAAACCGAAGGAGTATTAAATAACTTTTTTAATACCAAGTCTATCGTTTTTTTTCCTAAGTTTGCAATCTTCATTTATCTTCTTATTTTCTTTGATAAAATACAGTTTCGAGGTCTATCTGATTACAATATTATATATGTATACGGATGGAAAGATCCCATTAAAAATACGCTTTCCAGTTCGTAAAAACAAAAAGTCGTACTTGCACGTAACGCAAAAGGTTGGCCAAGTGTTTTATTCTTCTTTTCCCTAGCCAAGTGTTTTCAAGGTACAGTGACTTACTTTCACACAAAAACATTTTTATCGTCTTGTTTTTCCAATGTGTTGTCAGCGGCGGAGCTAGAAAAAAAATTTACGGGGTCAATTTTAATTTATAATATATACTAAATAAATTTTACGAGGTCATTTAGTTAAATTATTAATATTATATCTAATTTTTACATAAAAATACAAATATTTATAAAAAAAATGAATTTCACCTGGGTCAATTGCACCCCCTCCCAACATGCTCCCGCCACTGTGTGTTGTGTGTTCTCTGTACACTATTTGATTATATGAACATTAATTAGTGATCACGTGAACCTGGTTTGCTTACAGCATGCAACATTTTTACTGTTTTATAGTACTAGAAGAACATTTTTTTTAGGATGTCAAACCTAATTAAAGGACTAATTTTCAATATTCTCCCCAATCTGAAATGGTACATATCAGAACAATTTTTTTCTGAAACCTTTCTTTTTTTCTCTCAAGTTGAGTGTTTTTTCGTCATCTTTTGATCGTGTGTTTTTGCCAATCTCGTTGCTTCTGTTTTGTCTTCGATTACGTGATCAGTGGATAGTGTGTTTGGTCTTCTCATAAGGAGGCCTGTTCATAAGTATGAGCCAAGACTAGTCCTCCGATGTGAAAGTTAAAAAGCCAGATATTTTAGACAATTTAGTTCAAAAATCTGGTAGTTTTCTTCTTCTTTTTTTTGGGGGGGGGGGATTCAAAATTTAATAGTTCTAAAATGCCTTTCTACTCTAGGGAAGTTTTACTCAGTTGTAAATCAAACTAAAATCAAAATTTGAAATAACTATATTTAGAATTAGACAGGACACAGTCACAGTAACAAACATAAGTCGAAGAGAACAGTCTTTCATGTATTGAATCCGATCCCTCTCTGTTACATGAACTGACATGACCTTTTGTTTTTTTGTCCGTAAAGAGATAAATACAGTAAAGGGAAACTAGTGTGGTCATTAGAATAAAGGGAAAGAACCTAATCACTTCTCAACCCTGGAAACTTGAAGTTTTGTATAGTTAAAATTATAAAATAATAAAATGAACATTAAGCAACTGGGTCCGACAAGAAAAGGAGCTAGCTATACATCAACGAATCCGACAAAAGTGTGACTTATACAATGACGTCACTGGTTAAAGAGTGCATTTTTGTAAAGACAGAATAATCTAATAAGACACTCGGATCCGTACGTATATAACTAAAGACTCCATGATCACTGTACGTTTTCATTAAATAACAAACTCCATCCTTTAAAAATATCACTAATTTACTCATAATTATTCTCTGGTTCCATGTAAGCATTTATTCTATTAAACCCAAGAAACAAAAATGGTCACCTTGCATGTACATGTTGGCTTTATATTTCGAAGCCTTACTTTTATTGTATGATGCTTTTATTAAGAAACTCGGACCGACTAATCATTTTCTTCACCAACATCAACATGTTATAAATCGTCGCGTTTACTAATTAAATAATATTTTTCAATTATTAGAAAGAGGACATTATTTAAATCTTTTGCTTGAGTTTCTAATTTTCTATATACATACGCTCAGAACGGTCATCAAGTTGGTATATAGATGGTGGAAACAATTAATTAAACAAAAAAACATATGACGCCAAAAAAAAAAAAAAACAAAAAAGCATAGAGCATTTTCTACTTAAAGCCTAGTAATACGAAAACGAACACTCTATTATTTTAGGTTTTTAAAAATGTAAAAAGAGCATCTAAATAAAAGTTCGTATATATATATATATATGACAACAATATTAGATTCAACGAAAGTAGGCGAACGAACGTGACTGCTCTCCAGCATTTTGTACAGTAGCTAACGAAGCAATGTGATCTGTGATTGTCCTTATATGGCACGTGCAACAGATAAGCAGATCTTTGATTTTCTTTTTACAAATTAATACCTACACAATAATAAACCAAACAAAGCAAAAAGGGTTGGTGAAAAAAAAAAAACCAAAAAGGGACCTTCAATTATAAAGACTTTCTTTCTTATATTGCAAGGCAGTGTGATTCAGGAGTTTTTACAGGGATGAGACGTGAAAAAACAAAGACGGCGGGTGAGATGTGTGGTTGCTTATCTTTCGATATTATTTGCTCGGTTAGTTGCAAGAATACATATGATATTGTTGGGTGACTTTTGGTTGGATATTATATGGTAAATTTGATTGAATTTCTGCATCCATGTCCGGTGATCTCCAACGTCAAACAAGTTATGCATAGTAGAAGCATGGTAGAAGCACATCACTATGCAATTTATACATGTTTTGGACCTTTTGGTTACCTGAAAGATTGATTGATTTCCACTTATCAAACTTAGTACATTGCTTTATTAGTCTAAAGGATTATAATGACTGCAAAGAGTTAGTCCAGATTTTGTTTATTAACGAGATCTCTTTAAACAACATATAAGAATGCTGTCGTCTTCCAAGGATTAAATCTAAAATAAAAGGTGATTCGATGACTCAAATCGGACGTCTTTTGGCCAAAAAAATAAAAAAATAAAAAATAAATCGGACGTCTATGTTTGTACTACAGTCCTAGACCTAAGAAGAATGGAAACAAATCCAGGGAAAAAAGAAGAAGATGATCCATTAGGCCCAAAAGTGAAATGAACTAATATGGGTAATTAAATATATCGTAATTGGGCCGATTTTTGGAAAATTCAGAATCAGCCTCCAACAAGTGTGCCAGTGAAAGTGATGACAATGATGCAATATTTCAAGTTCAACCTCGGGAACCACAAAATATCAGTTTCTATTTAGAAATGGAGTGAATGTGGTGAATTATCGGTAAGAAAAGCAAAAACCAAAAAATAATGAAAGTGTGAAGATAAGAACACATAAAAGTACGAGAATGCTTATCCCGTGACACTGACATCTTTCTTTCATGGCCCACCAATACCCATTTTCCTCGCTAGATAATCATAATACACAAAAGATTGCAAAACCAGACCTATCAATATCATTATTGTTTTTTTTTCTTTTTAATATCAATACTATATTTAAATCAAAAACAACGGATGTGAAGAAAAAAACAACAGGACAATATCATTATTTTCCGAAAACCGGATTACATATTTCCGTTTTGACAGTGGTTGGAGGACACGGAAGAAAGACGACAAACTACGAATTACTTCACATTTTTTTTTCTGTCGTTTCCAGATTGTGCCAAAAATAAGACATATATTGGTATTTCTCTATTCTTTTTTGTAGCAGACTTCAAAATGATCATTTATCTGAGATATTACAACAAATTCAATATCTAAAAACTTTCCCAAATTATAAAACAAGCCATGTCAATTTTTGTTTTATGTTTAAATAAGTCAAAACAGATAATGAACAGGATACATATGATAATGACTTAGATTAGACTATTTCGGAATAATATAAGAAGGCATAGTCGTGCCCTCATCCAAAACCGTTTTTATTCCCACAGGAAAAAGAAGATAAAACAGACAACGGACTAAAACAAATAGCCCACCGCCTCAAAATTACATATATATACACTCAGGAAATCTCGCCACTCTACGTACATCTGCATTTTTCCTTGAAAGATTCTTATTAATAGTGAAATAAAACTCTTTCTCTTAGATTTCATTTTTCATTGTTGGGTTAAAAATGTTGGCTATTTTTCACGAGGCGTTTGCTCATCCGCCGGAGGAACTACATAGTCCGGCGTCTGAGAAATGCTCTAAACAGCCAAAACTTCCAGGAGAAACCCTAAACGATTTCTTATCTCGTTACCCTCTCAACACTTTCTCCATGTCTTTTGGTCAAGCAGCTGTTCTTGCTTACGTTCGTCCCTCTGCTTCCTTCTCTATCCACCAGAGGTTAACATACACAGTCACACAGTCACAAATCTTGCTTAATTTTCTTCTTGTTTATAAGGTTCTTGATCCATTAATCTTCATTTTTTTTCTTCTTGAAATCTTATAGGCTGTTTTGTGGATTTGATGACATCTACTGTCTATTCTTTGGGAGCTTGAACAATCTGTGTGACCTAAACAAGCAATACGGTCTTACCAAGACAACAAACGAGGCCATGTTTGTGATTGAAGCTTATAGGACACTTAGAGACAGAGGTCCTTATCCAGCTGATCAGGTCGTCAAGGGTTTGGACGGAAGTTTTGCCTTTGTCGTTTATGATAGCAAAGCCGGTTCTGTCTTCACAGCTCTGGTACTTCTCACAAACCAGTCTAATTAAGCACTTTTTTGATGTTTTTGAGATGTTAAGGATTTTGAGAAACTTGAGGATTGATCATTTTTTCTTCTAGGGATCTGATGGAGGAGTCAAGCTCTTTTGGGGCATAGCTGCTGATGGATCTGTTGTGATATCAGATGATTTGGATGTTATCAAAGAGGGTTGTGCTAAATCTTTTGCTCCATTTCCTACAGGTAATAACTGAGTTAGTGCTTACAACACATAACACAAAATCTTCATTAAAAAAATACATGACATGCAAAGCTAGTACTGATGATTCTTGGTATGAAATTAGTAGAGCTCAATCTTTTTATTTTTAACAAACATAGGAGTTAAATTTAGCTATTTGATGCATCAAGATGTTGGTTTAGGTTAACCAAGGAGGGAACTGTGTGTATAGTTAAGCTATCTAGGGAAAACCAAGGAGGAAACTTAAATGTGTATGTATGATCCAACAAAGAATGAAATGTTTGGTGGATTTTGCAGGATGCATGTTCCACAGTGAAGGAGGGTTAATGAGCTTTGAGCATCCGATGAACAAGATCAAGGCGATGCCAAGAGTGGACAGTGAAGGAGTTCTATGCGGTGCCAACTTCAAGGTGGATGTGTACTCTCGTGTTAACAGTATCCCTCGTCGAGGAAGTGAAGCCAATTGGTCTCTCTGAAAAAGACGGTCTCTTTTTTTTTCTTGCACTTTCTTGTTCCGTTCTTGTTCTTCTCCACTTTCAGTTATGTACTGTTTTCTAATAAACCCATGAATAAGACTGTATATAGCGTTCGAGGTTCTGTTTCTACCTACTAGACAAATAAAATTTTCAACGCTCGTTATCTGGTTGATCAGAGTATGATTGATGTTCTTTAAACTTATGATCAAAATGCGTGAGAGAGAATTTCATCTTCTTCAGTAGTAAACTGCCTTAGAGGAGGAAGTCGATAATTTTCCATTCTTTTTCATGCTTGAAGGAACGAACAATTTTGAAGTGTAGATGACGAAACAGAGTATATAACTGGTCTCTTTTGGTGAAACACAGAGCAGATTTAAGGCTTAAGATTTGCCAACTTTTATTTCTTTTGTTGTGGGCTGGCTACTAGCCAAGCAGATCTACACTCAACAGACACTAACGAAAAACTCCGCAATAGAGTCAGACATCTAAAAATCCCGAATATCCTCTATGTTTCATCACTTGGTACATAGAGGTCTCATCAGAAGAAGAAAGAGATTTCAAATCATATTTTAGGCCAAGCCAACGAGCTTCTCACTGATCTCCCACACTTTACGAGCCTTGGCAACATCGCTTGCTTCTTCTGATAACTGGTTCTCAAAAGATGCCGAAGCCTTGTTCCAGCTCCAGTAAACCCCTGATTTCGTCAAGCTCGGATCACTCACCACCTGATCAAATACAAAAACTCTGTTTCTTGAGTACACAGCAAGAAAACTCTTTCCTTGTCTCACAATCTAAAAGAATATATATCTTAATTCTTTATTACCTGAGCAAGTCTTTTGCCAGACTCTGTCTCGGAGACATATCCTTTAGTGATATACTTCTGAAATGGAGGGAAGAGGGTACGGAAAAGAGGAATGTGCTCTCTGAACAAACCCGTGGAAGCGATGCAACCAGGGTAAAGCGAGGCAAATGTTACTCCAGTTTCTTCATGGTAACGCCTGTGAAACTCTTGCATCGTCAGCATATTGCAGACTTTACTGTCTTTGTAAGCCTTTGCACCGTCGAAATCTCCTCCATCAATCATCGCCGAGCTGTTTAAACCGTTCAATCCGCCAGCTAAACCTCTCAAATCCCCGAGATTCGCCTTTGGTGGTACATTACCAGCCAATGTATTTGTGTTCCCTAAACCAAAAACAGAGATACAATGATCAAAAGTCTTTCTCTAGCGTGCAATGTAGTAGGTCTATATAGATTCTAGACAATACCAGTGATGGATCCGACGATAATGAGACGCTTTGAAGGGTAATCAGATTTCTTCAAGTCATCAAGCAACAACCTAGAGAGAAGAAAATGTCCCAAATGATTCGTAGCAACGCTAAGCTCAAACCCTTCTGCACTGTAAGTAGGCTCTTTAGCTGTCGGGAAGTAAACCGCAGCGTTGCAGACCAGAACATCGAGAGGCATCTCCGATCTCCTGAAGTTATCAACGAACTGTCTCACGCTGTCCAAAGAGGCCAAGTCTAAATGCATCACCGTGTAGCTGTCTTTAGGCATCCCTGCGGATTTAGCGGCTCTCTCTGCTTTAAGGAAGTCTCTGCACGCCATTATCACGTGCCATTTCCCTGTCTCGGCAAGAGCTTTAGCTGTGGCTAGACCTAACCCAGATGAGGCTCCCGTGACCACCACGTTTCCTTTCCTCAACGTTTTCTTGCCATCCGCGGAAGATTTTGTGACCGAGGGACTTGAAGTCGCAGCGGTTTGGGCTCGAATTGCTACATTCCTCAAGCTGTGTTCTCTCTGCATATTAAATAAGTATCTCTGAATCAATTAACCATTACTAATCACTCGCAAAAGAAGGGTTTTACAAGACTGATGTAGCTAGTAATTGACAGTTGTTATGTACCTTGAATCTTAATGAGGACGAGCCATGTTCGGATTTGATTTGGTCAGTAATGGAGACACCAAAAAGACTCGAGTCCTTGAAGGATGATGAAGAAGCATTCAATTTTGCATCTTTTCGGACAGAGAAAGCAGAGGAGACCAACGAAGCAGCTTGAAGTGCCATTTTTGGAAAAAGAAAACAACAGAGAGTGAGAGATAGCAAAAGCGATTGAAGTAGAAGACTACCGAAGTGGATATTTTGCGAGAGAGAGTGTGTGCGTATATGTACTCGCGAACGAGTGGAGGAGGTGATATTCGGACAAGGGAAGACTGGTCCCCACAGAGATCACCGAAGATGTGTGGATAACATTATCTTAAAGAAAGTATCTGCCACGTCATAGCTGAATATCCAATGAGAAATCGAGGGTTAGATTTCCCTCACAGAAGATATTTTATTTAATAGATGTTTTTGGCTTAAGAACAAGAGACAGTTGCAAAAAGGATGGTGATTGGTGTTTATGGGATTCCATCCTTTGGCATGGGAGAAGGAGATATCTTCTGCTAGTTGTTAACTTGTTATGGACACTCTGATGTTTGGATAATTTGTCACATTTTTCTTTTGAAACCATGGTTTTTATCCGTAACATTCGGAATTGTTTTGAACTGTAAGTGAAATCTTAATATCAATTCTGTAATTTTTAAGTTATATTTTTAGTTTTGAATACTAATTATTAAGTAAAAAAAAAAGGAATACTAAAAAAAAAAAGAATACTAATTATTGTACCGCTAATCCGTTATATATAGTAGCATACTGTGATCGTCTACCATCATCTTACAACTACCATTCACATTGAGAAAAAAATCTTACCATTTTGTATCACCAACCGAATCTAAAATTACGTTCAAGTTTAAATATTTTTTTTTCTGTCAGAATTACATCTTATTATTGAATAAATGATATAGCATATGTTGAACAAACATAACATTAGCACACATGTCACAACCACTAACTATAAATCGTAATGCGTCAAATTACATCCGCCTTGCAAAAACAACATTTCAATTCAATTCCATACAAATCAGTCTACAAAACTCATAGTTGTACCCTCAACTTTACATATTTTGCAGTCATACATAAAAATGAAACAACAACCCCAAAATATGATATTAGCACATAGAAAAGAAACAAACTTATTATGTTGGTTAATCCTCTAGTAAGGCGAGAGGGAGGCCTCAGCAGCAGAGGAGTAGTAGAAATAATAGAACTGAGAGACAATGGCGTTGAAGAAGACGAAAGAGGCGCCTGCAGCGAAGACGCCCTTTCGAAGAGTTTGACAATCAGGAGGATTGTCCATAAACATTGTCCTGTACTTGGTGTGGTATGCATTTTCTACGGATCCAGCTAATAGACATATCTCCGCTATCAAGAAGAACATCCTTTTTTCCGCCAAGAAAACAATAATCAAAATGTGAAAAAAAAAAAAAACATTAGCACAATTTCGTGTTTTGCTGGTTGAATGAAAGTCTTGTGCATTTTATCAATTCAGTGTTAGATTGAAGCACAGTTGAATTAGTAAAAAAGATAATAAGCATGTTTGGTTTTATAACGGATTCAAATGCTTGGTAATTTAGAATTGACCTACGGAAACATTAGTGGTTTAAAAAGAGAATGAAAATCTGCAATTTAATCGTTAGATAAATTGTGACATTCAAAACATAGTAGATTGATGATAGTTACTATTCTATTTTGTTTTTAATTAACACGTTTGTGTTCCTTACTTCTCATCAATCTATCATCCAGTACACGTTCTAATGTATATCGAATGAAATCCGAATGCATCTTCGATAGTGGATTTGAAATCTCAAATCATCTTTGTAATTTACATAATTGCTAGCTACAACTTTGGTTTTGGTTTAGGCCGGCTTTATTTATTTTAAACCGAATCATAATCGCCCTACTAGAACCGTCATGTCCAAGGTAACTTAACCTAGAGGGTTTTATATTTGATGAACTGACTGAGTTAAAATCATAAAAGAGTATATATCTTACCAGCTGACAATGAAGAGAACGAGGGCAAGAGCGCGTGAACCACCAGGCTTGAGAGGCTTTCCACAACAGAAGCAGCGGCTAACGAGCATGATAAGAAGTTGACTAGCCACTGAGAACAAAAAGGCTCCAACTCCATACCCTGTGGCTCTGTCCGAATCATACACACAGTAGTTGTATTGCACCTCAGTGTCCTGCATAACCCTTGCCTGCCCCACCAAATAATATTAGAAAAAAACAAATATTATTCAAAATGTTAAGAGAGAGATCACATCTTGCTGAATGGGATGTGTATATGTAAGACTCACAGTGCTTCTTCTTTGTTCAGCAGCAACGGCGAGACCAAAGGCAATGAGGTTGAACACAAAGACTATGGCTGAGACAATCTTCGACGCCATGGTCACTTTACTCTCTTCTCTTTCGCAAAATGCTTCTTTAGATATAAAGACAACCTTGTTTGCTCAGATTTGATCGTCTCGCCTAATGGGAAAAGACACTTTACCTATTTTTTGAAATCGGTATTTCACCTTTTATTTATTTATTGTTCAATACAAAGTACTCTTTATGTCTTGGAAACTTTTTTCTAAGAAGTTGGGGAAAAATGGAAGGTAGTCCGAGGATGCGTAGAGCGAAAGATATAAACAGAGCTGCCTTGTGGAACAATTTTCTGCTGTTTATGATAAGATATTAGTTTTGTTAAAAACTAAAATGAGCTGTCTCCTCAATTTTTTTTTGAAGTATAAATATTTCTATGAAATTAACGTGATGGATAAATTTTTTCATTTTTCTTTTTCATCGTTACTAAGCTTCGGAGTGGAAAACAGCTTGAAAAATGCCTAAGAACGTGAAAAGAGATAACGCGGGAATTAGATTCCCACTTGATGGGAACATGTTACCACAATAAAGATTAACAAAAAAAAAGTAAAACGGGAGAAATGCTTATAAAAGTTGTAGTTGGATGGGTAATGTCGAAGACTTCTGCATCAATCTAAGAGAACCAAATGCTTAAATTTGAAGAATCTTCTCACCAAATTTTATGAGAGTATTTTCGTATCTTCTACTAAAATTAAAATAATTAAAATTATTCATCATTATCTCAATTCCTCGATTTTTTATATTACTTACTAGTTAGTTCGTATTGTTTTTTTCTGATGTTCGTATTGTTTTTTCTGATATTCGTATTGTTTTTCTGATGATCACGATTCCCATATCACCGATAAAATAGTTTTAGTTACAAAATCCAAAATAACCTTACTTTATTCAAACTCACCAAACCATTTTTATGCACCAATGCTATCAAGAACAAATAAACAATGAAATATATAAACAGCAATCAAGTCGATAAAAGACGAAACAGAATTTTAAAATCAGACAAGAAAAAAATTTAAAGAATAAAAACCGAAAAGTATTTAAAACCGGCTTTCCAACCGAACTCAACACGACGTCGTAACAATGCTCCGATAACTCCAGAGAAGAGATCTAACTTCGGTTTTTCTTTCCAAACATAAGAAGCTTCCTGAAGACTTTAGCTGTCCCTTTCGGAGACGTCTCTTCACTGTTCCATTTCTTCCTCGAATGATCTGTTTCAGTCGCCGGCGGAGTCGAGATGTCATTCTCCGAGACAGTTGGTGAGAAATAATACTTCTCCTCCATATTTGTTTCTGAAAATGTCACCGATTTCTTCGGAGACAACGGTTTTGGCGGTGAAACCTTGACTTCTCCGACATCTTCTGAACAATCGTTCGTCGTGATTTGCTGCTTTTCTTCACAGGCAGATGTCTTCTTCACTATTTCCTGATCATCGATTTTCATCTGATCTTGTACTTTCTGATGATTGGCGAATGATTTTTCATCGGCGATGATTTCATTTGGTCCGTTGTTTCCTCTGGAAATTTCTTCCGATGATAAGCTATGCAACTCTTTAATGTCTTTGAAATCATCAACAGAAGAAACAGGAGGAGGTTCATCAACTTGCTTCACCGGCAAGTAAGACTCTGAATCTTCCACTGTTTCCTTGATTTCGAGACTCGGGTCACGAGAAAGTTCCAGACTTTTCGCATCTGATTTACCTACTTTACTCGATTTTTTGTCCTGAGATTTCTCTGTCTTGTTTGCTAAAGGTTTTGATGCTCTATTGATTACTGGTTTTTGTTGTGGCTCCTTTGGTGCGGTCCTGGCTACAGCAAGGCGCTCAATGGTGGAACTTCTGAGTACCGGCCTAGCCTTTGGCTGTGCGGCTTCTGGGGTCTTCTCTTTCTTTGTCATGCTCTTCACGGTTTTATCTGCTGTAGGAGCTTTCTTGGACGCTAAGGAACTTGATACACTACCATTAGAACTCTTCTCAGCAATTCTCTTTTGCCTCTGAATCAAAAGTTCTTCCATTCTCTTTTTTCTCTCTTCCTCCTATCAAATACAAAATCCAGATGAGAAAAAATGAAACTAATCAAGAAAGAAGAGAAGCGGTTACGGAAAATTACCAACTCGGATTTGGTTTTGGTGGCAGCAGCTCTACTTCCCCAAGGAGGTCTCTTAGCTTTCGATGGGCCAGGTCTACCTAATCCTCTTAACTTTGCATCCTTCCCCTTGGAGACGCCACGGCTTTTCTTTTCTTTACCATCTGAGGTTTGTTCACCTGCAGAGGCCTTTGTAGTGGTTTCCAAATCGGTTTTGCTTTTCTCTTGAGCCAAAGTGTTAGTCTCGAAGTCAATTTCAGGGGTCCATGGTAACAATGTAGGTGTAACATCTTGTTCCCGTCCAAGAACCATGAAAAGGTCATCTGGCTCATGCTGAGTGAACTCTGGTGCATGGTTTTCTTGTTGGGTGATTCCGTAAACATCTGAGTCCATGATGTCTGTTCTTAATCGAGATTCTTCCACTTGGCCCTCAACACGAGAATGGATCATGAACGAGTCATCGGTCAGGACATCTCTCTCGCTGCTCCTCGTTAGGTGGAAATCGTCTCCTACAAATGTCTTTACAAGACTTGGATCTCTTTCTGTATCTGCTTGGTTACGTATGAACCAATCCTCTTCCGTCTCATTTCTGCCTCTGAGCTTCCCATCATAAACAGACATCTCTGCCTGCGAATAACTTCTTGATTCACCATCTCTACCTGGATTCAACATCTCCTCGTCGTAGTTGTTCTCTCTCCTTATCAGGCGAACATTCTCACCCGCGTCGAGTTTCTTAATACTGCTTTCTCTGTCCCAATCCTCATTCACATTTGCAACCAAGAAAGAATCATCCATAGGCGGTTCTCTCTTTCTCACAACTTCTGACTCCATGTTTAACGGAGATGATGATGTTTGCAGTGATTCTTCTTCATCTTTGTCTTTCAAAAGAAGGTTTTGGAAAGCATCCCAATTATCATTCCCTTTAGTTTCCTTACTACCTGAATCATCGTCCTCACTGTGATTTTTGTGTTTCCTCCGACGGCGTGAAGTTGATTTATTCCGTTTCTCCAGTGAGCCAATGGCTTCTTCTACTTGCTGCTTGATGGAATCTCCATCTACAAACCCTTCTTCTTCCTCAGACTCCTCCGAATCGCTCTCCTTTGCTCCATTCCTCTTTGAGGTTATATAATTTATGTTGCGTATAACCACTTTTCTAGATGATTTCTTCCCTTCATTTCCGTCTTCTGATACGGTCTCAGCACTGGACTCATCGCTTGGCTCGGTGGATTCAGCTTGCTTTGACTTCTTCTTCTTCTTCTTATTCTTCTTCTTTTTCTTGGAAGACTTCTCACTTGACTCCAAATCTCCCATGTTTACAGGCCATTGCATATTCCCAGGGAAATACGGTGATTGGCCCTGCATCCCCGGAAACATATAAGGAGGATACCCATGTCCTTGGAAGTTTTGCATGTACTGAGGAAAATGGTTTGGCCATGGCATTGCCATTTGAGCTCTCCCTTCTGCACAATGCGATCAATTCAGCTTTTAGTTACTAACCAATCAAAGAATCATGCAATGAAAAAATCAGAACTGAATGCTTCTAAGAACCTTGGCTAGTCTCGAAGCTGCCCTGGCTCGAGGCATCCATGGAGTTCCCATGCTTCACGTTTGTAGCATTCAACAAATCATTCTCTTCACCAGCAAGTATGATCCCAGAGTCACCCATGAAGGACAACTCAGGCCTAGGAAATGCTTGCATAGCCGTGATTTGGTCCACCCACATTCTATCTTCGTTCTTTCTCTTGCACAAGTCCACAAAGTTAACACACGCTTCCCTGGACAAAACTCATTCATATGATTTATCGTACAAATGTCACGAGCAACACAACGACATGAATGGTTCAGTTGCTTACCTTAAACGCGAAGCTCCAAAAGCATCGGCGAAAGACAAGAGGTCATCCATGTAGTCCAATTCAAACCCAACAACCAAAGCTCGAGCGTAAGCCATGGCTTGCTCTTTGCACAAAGCCGCTTTGCGGTTCTCCAAAACACGCTGAAGACCAACCCTATTTCATTCATTTCACCGCTTCTCAGGATCAATCAACTTCTCATAACCAGTCCACAAGACAAAAAGAAGAGAAAGACTAACCCCTAAAACTTACTTAGAATTTTCTTCCCCATTGTCTCCATCAGATTCACCTTTTGCCTATACAAAAACAGAGTCAGAAACAATTGCCTATATACACAATTATCAAGCAAGAACTCAGCTTTTGGCATCTAATAGGGGGAAAAGAATCACCTTTGATAAAGCCGTAGACTTGTGAGAAGTCCATGTACTGCCCAACTCGTTTCCTATGTATATGCAAGAGATTACACAATGTTGAAAAATGCCAACTCTTTAGCTAATTAACTTAATTTTGAATATCTGATTCATGATTTTGGTGCCCATAATTCTTACTGTTGCCTGATTTCTTTCTAAAAACCCTTTTAGAGAGATTCTGTGTCCAAACATACCTTCTGCTTCGCCGGAAATGGCGGCTGCATTAGACTGAATCGAATCCTCGATCTGCTCAATCTCCTTCTCCAATGTTACTGACCTCTCAAGAACCTCGGGAGTGGTCACGAATCGCACAAACCTTTTGCCCAAAATCGGAAACGAAACTTTAGCCCTTTTTTGTGGTTCAGAGACGAAAGACGGAAACTTTTCTAGAAGACGGAGAGATTTTACCTCTGAAGCGTCACTTTGGTAAACCAAGGAACGCCGGCGCCGGCGACGGAGGAAGGCCGGAGGGTAACGGAATATCCGCCTTTAGAAATCTGATCTCTAACGCTCTTGAGATGTGTAACGAACGGCTGAAAAATCCCCGAAGCAAGTTTCTCGTTCTCGCCACCGGAGAAAATCACAAGCTCACATCTTCAGGCCAAAAAAAAAAAAGTAAAACAGAGAGAATCAGCATATAGAGAATTGTGTCAATATGGTTAAGAACAATGAAAAGGCCTAGCTTTTAGAGTTACCTTGTCCTGGTGGGTGTGAGTTGAAACAGAGCATAGTCAAGTCTTGTTCTGGGATCCATTAAAAGACCCAACAAGCAAACACAAAAAGATGGGTCAATTTAAGTTTCACCAGGATTTGAAGCACTTATGGTGATGCTCAAGAATGTTCATAGAATTTCTGATTTATTTGCAGAGAGAGAGAGAGAGAGAGTAAAGAGAATGTTTCGTGACAGCTAAGAGATAGAGAAGAGAGAGAGAAGCAAAAGCTGTAGGAACGATTGAGATCCAGAAGCGAGCACATGCACTGAAGCTCAGACATTCAGATGAAGAAGAAAGAGGAGAGAGGTTTTCATGGAGTTTGATTTTTTGTTTTCCTTTTTTTCTTCCTTTTACATATATTAATCATATGCCCATGTGGGTCCCCTCGTTCTATACGCCGACATACACATTTCACCGATATACATATACTTCTGTCGACTTTGACTATACTCAGTATATTTTTGTTTGTTTTTTTTTTTCTTTTTAACATGTGATAATCTTACCAAACATTGCAAAACTTATGGTATAGTATACGATCGATTGATCGATCAATACATTTAGGGGGGGATTGAAGTAGGAAATTAGGGAGGAATCTAGTCATCTCCCACTGACTATAACTTGGTTGCATTCCCTAAATAACTTTATTGAATGGTGGAACAGAAAAACGATTCGCCAATATCATTTGAGTTCATGGATTTTCCCGTTATCATATCATTGAGTTCTCTACAATCACATTCAATTATAATCCATATGAAACCTCAAAATCAATGATCTAAGAGACTCGTTCCTTTTTTTTGGTTAAAGAAAGAGACTCATTCCTTCAACTTCCAATGCATGCCTGCCTTGCTTTAATTATCCAGCCCGTCCCAACAAATTTTTTTTCCACAAACTGAATTCATTTTAGAAAGTGGTGCATGGCATGGCAGAGTCTCAACCAAGTTTCAAGTTTTGTAATTAGTTACAATAAAAAATTTGTATTTGAAGTGGTAATAAACTAATAATAAATGACAGAGAAAATGTTTGTAAGTTATATGGATTTAATTTATAAATTTGATCAAATAACAAGTGTTTTGTTGGAAATGAAAAGTGTTAGTTGACATGTCAGAAATCTGTCAAAAGCTTGGATACCAATAGAGACAAATGATAGACAATAACAGTTACTCAAAGAAAGATATACTAATAATATAGAAAATATATTGCAAAAATGGTGGTTTTTTTTGCTAAATATATTATTTGTCTTAGCTTGGAGGGGAAACAAGCGAGTTACATAATTATTTCATAGATGTTTCATACCATGTGAGGTGAAGAATGGTGCGACATTATTGTACAAGATAAATGATGAAGTAGCAGTGTTCCCACACATTCGAAATTATTGAATTGTTTATAGTGTTTTCATGAACAAGTTATAACTTATAAAGTGATGCAAATTTTATTTTACCGTGGATATTTTACATTAAATTTCTATCAAATCTGAGAGGTGTGATTCGCTGCGGAACTCTCACTCCAGCTTGGTAAAATCAAATGGTTTTTTTGTTGTCCTTAAATCTTACGAAGATAAGTAGTTGTTGTTTTCTTAGCAAAAAAAGAAGAAGATAAGTTGTTGTAATCACGAAGTTTTGTCCAATGTTACAAGTTAATTAGTTTTTAGTTTGATAATTGTGTAAAAGGTTGGAGATTATCATCATCAATGATGGTAAAGTGGCTAATCACCAGAAAAGGTAACATTGTTGGTTAGCATATATGCTTCATTAAATAAATCACAAGATTATCGCCAAAAAGGTATAACCACTTGTAGTAACCAACTCAAGAATAGTCATAGTGAAGTTGTGTTTGTAATAATTATATAAGAAGTTTTAAGTATTATGATTACTATTAATGTGGGTCACGTGATTGATCAGTTGTAGCTACTTGTCTTCCTATACTTCTTGTCAAAGGATATCGAGAAATGAAGATTCCGTTATTATTTTTTCTTGATCAATTGTAGCTACTTGTCTTCCTAGACTTCTTGTATCATTCGCATCATCAAATGATATAAATTAAACATTTACAATAAAAATAAATTCTTTTTTGTCGCTGCAACAGATATGTTATCGTCCAAAATCAATCACAATTAGAGAGCAGGCATTAAGAAGAATGACAAAAGAAGACGATTAAATAAAAAGTCGCACATGAGTAAATTTTGGATTTTGTTTTTTTTTTTGGTTTTAAGAGTAAATTTTGGATTGTTCCTGTCGTCTCTAAATTTGTTCACCCCTAATTTTTTTCAAACTACATCCAGAATTTAATTCGGTTAATTTTAGAATAATACGGTGAAATACATTCGAGGCTTAAGCATATTATAAAGTTTAAAGTTAATAAAAAGATGTTTGGAAACTAGTTTGGTTTTGCGTTGCAATACTAGGTGAACTAGTTTGTTATATTTTCACCTTTTTTTTGCTATGAAACTTTCTTATAACAAACTACAACTTTTAGGAAAGAATGTTGATATCAATTCAGTAGTATTATTGTAGTCTAGTGGTTAAATGTGTCCGTGTTTTATATATAGACAGTTCAAACCCAAATGCTCTTTCATCACCTAGCTAGCCATGCGGGATTAATTCTCACCGCGAGGAACAAGCTCAATGGATGAGGGAATATCTCATCTACACTTGCTATAATTTCCTTGGATCAACTTCGAAATTCCTAGAACACCTATATTCAGCGATGACCAGCAATAACGATCAGTAACACGTTTTGTTATTCGCTTTATAGTTGCTAACAAGTAACAACTAGTGATTAGAAAAAACAACTAAATTTTGTTTGTTTTGTAATCGGTGATTTGACATATTACAAATTTCAACAATTAGTGACTAAAACATCTTAAAACATTGAAATTTTTAACGTTATAAATTTCAAATCAAGGAGTAGTCATTTAACATGTCATTGTTGCTAAAGACTACAATATCCGAATTGAATTGTTGTAACGTGTCATTGCCACTGATGACTGCAAAACGAGTATGATTTAGTTGATGATCGTTTGCGCCAACAACTACGTAACGAACATAACCATGTTTTATGATTGGTAATTCTTTTCTCATTAATCATTTTACAGATGTCTCGCACTTTCTCTCGCAATAGATCTCTACGAAACCTCAGTCAATGCGCTCACTAGAACTTGATTGTTGTTGAGCTTACATGTAACCATACATCATATGCGAGAGAGAAACACAAGACATCACTAACACCACCCACGCACCTAAGACCATCTAATTCACGATATTATATAAGGAATTAGACATCTTCGTCTCCTATGCCAATCCTATCAACAACGATGATCTCAAGGTCCCCTGGACTCACACTCATGGTGAAATCAGCATAATATTTTCGTTGTTGAAAGGATTGGTTTTTTTAGCGACTCCTTGTTGGAGGTGAAAACCGCACCCCGGTTTTCTCCGGTACAAACCGAGATCGGCGTAACGTAAGTCTGGTTTATGAAGGAATGTACCGGAAAGATTGGGCCGAGTAAAGATTTGGGCCGAATGCAGCCCATTAAGCCGAGGTCAGCGAGAAGCTTCTCGAAGGAATCGAGAAGTTTCCCGAGTTCGGTCAAGAATGGAAAGTTTCCTAATGGAAAAAGGAAACTACTATGAGAAAAGGAAAAGGACCGAGAGAAAAGGAAAGACCTCTCGGTCCCATATCGCCGAAGATGTATTTGACGACCGACTCAGAGAATATATATAAAAGAAGACGAATCGACACCAGAGAACACAAAAAATTCCAGAGAAGACTTAGAAACTGAGAACTCATCGTTTTAGATTCTTAGTTTCATAAAGTCTTAGTTCGTTATTCCTTACTTAATAACCGAACTCAGTTGTATTCCTTCGATTCGATCTAATAAAACCAAGATTATCGATCTAAATACTGTTTTGCCCCTTTGTCGATATTCACATATCAACACTCCTCTATCGTATTGCCTACACATTCTCTCTGTTTCCAAATTGTTTTTTCAAGTTCTTAGTTTCGTTTTTGTTGGTAACATTCTTGCACACTTTAAAATTGTATAAACCCATGTGTAATAACATTTTTTTGTTGATGATAAGTTTAACTTTTCAAAAGAAACATATATAGTTGAGAACCTACAAATTAGTAAAAAAAAAAAATAACTATATATAATATCTCTAACTTCCTGAATTCAAAATGTTCTCATATACATTTTTTCAAATTTACCTTCTTCCCAAGTTGGCGGAGGATTTAGTTAAGAGGTAGTAGAAAGAGGAACATGAGAAGTTGTATCTCGTCGAGAGATCCGCAACGTGACTTCGGAGATTAATTGAATCATTTCTCCGGCGAATTCAAGCACCGGCTGCCGGACAAATCGCGCCCATAGTCCCAACACACCTACCATCACCATCCCCGTCTCCGCCATCATTTCTTCCTCTTCTTCTCCTTTGAATCTCCCTAATATGTCTATGATCATAAATTTGATACGAGACACGACTTATTGTTTAAGTTTTTTTGTGAGGGATAAGTCCAAAAGCTGAAGAGAGTGGCCATATAAAGCTGGGACTATTTTCTTGATTTCATGCGGGGGTTGCAACCACCAGAAGTTGCTTCAGCCAACGGTCATTAAAGAAGTCGTTTAATATCTCTCTGAATAGACCAGAGGGTTCGCTTAGGTTTTGTTTCTGGAAACTTGATTCTTGACATGAAAGAAATTGTACAGAATTAATTTCCAAGTTTTTAAGTTAATAATACTCTCCGAAAATCAAGTACGAGTAAATCTCTTTTCTTAATTTTTTTTTTGCTAGATATTAATTTTGTTTTTCGTCCTTGAGTATATGCCGAGGAATATGATGTGTAAATTTTTAACGGTGCCAAGTCAAAGTGGAATTCGACGGCTCGTGTTGCACAAGGGATGGCAGAATAAATAAAAAGTAGACCAGCGAACAGAAAGTTCATAGCATATACTAAAATAGCCATATATCAACCTCCAATATGAAAGAGTTTAATCCTTTGTAATTAGTGGCTAACTTTTTTTATGCAAAATTAGTGACTGCCTATA